ATTTGCTTGGCTTTGTCTGAGGTGACGGGATACGTCGAATCGGAGCAGAAACATCTGAAACATCAGCAGGAGTTGCTGAGTTGCAGACCATATTTTGATTTACCAAAGAAAGAGTTAGGACAAACAGCGGGCACAAAAAGGGTCACAAAAACGGTGAGAAAGTGGTGAAAGGTCTTGGTGCAAAGAAAACTCGGCTAATTAATTGAGTTGAAGTAATTTTCGGTAAAGAGCAAAAGTTCTTGCAAATGGGATTGCCTTTTATGGGGCCCCTTTTCACCTCCTTCACTCAGGATGTTTTCCCTGCCATTTCCGCTTCGCAAATATTTGACTGGCCATTCCCGCCCCTTTTCCAAATTTTTTCCACCCACACACGCCCACAAAATATCCTCGGGTCACATAATTTAAATTTTTAATTACGCATCAAATCAACACGAACAATTATGACGGCCTAAAAAGCGGAACACAAGGGAGAGTTGTTTCTTAGTTGATTTCCTTTTATAGAAAGGGGAAGTAAAACCATTTTTATTAGTGGAAGTATATAATATATAATATATTATTTTATATTACACATCTTTTATGATATAAATATTGGGAATATATTTTAAAAACATTTATTTCCGGACAAATATTCAAATACCACATAATAAAACCATCAAACTTGCCGAAAAACTAAATCGCCCGAGGCTTTAGGCCCAAAATTTGTTTGGAGGTTATCTGTCAATTGATTTCTCACTTGGTTTTATTGTAGGTGCCCTATTCAATGGAGCCCTGAATTGAGGCATTATCCAGAAATATCTTCCCAAAGCAAATCAAACAAGCCGGGAATCCCTTTGGATAGCCCAATATCAAACAGCCCTGACCAAAAAGTGTGGCCTTGTTTACGCAAATACGAACCCTACACACGGTGATCCTTGGGATGTCGAAAAAAAAAGCAGCTGCTCCTGATGGCTGTTCTCCGTCTCTTTTCCGCCCTATCTCCCCTCTCTTTCCTGCTCGATCAAGCGATCCATTTGTCGACCATTTTGGTTTTTTTAACTCACGCCCTGTATCGTTCCCTCCATTCGCATCCCATTCATCAGTAAAGGTTTTCGGTTTTATTGCACCTTTTGTCTCCAGCCAGCCATCCATCCATCCCTCTCTTTCTGATCCGATCTACCCCTCTCTTTCTCCCTCTCGCCATGCGTAATCGATGCAATTTGCACGCTTACGCATATCGCAAGATTAAACTTATCCCTGATCCCTGAGCTGACTGATCCCTTGATGCGACTGCCATTGCCAGCAATTGCTTCTATTTTTCTACACTGAGAAAGCTGATATAAAAAGCTGATATCAGTTATATATCGATAAGAAATTATATAATACCATACAAGTGTTCTAAAAATATTATCAAGGTTAGACAGTGCAATATATTACACGTTATTGTTAAATTCCACAGAAAATAAATATGTTTTTTAAAGGCCAGAAATAGGTAGGTATTCTACAACATTTAAAGTAATTTAATTATAAATTGATCGGTTAATATCATAATGATCTTAATAAGATACCATTAAACAATTTCTCTTATCTCACTTTTTCCTGTTTAGAAAACACATTTAAACTATTTTTCCCTGTGTAACTCTGGGATCAGCTTGAAAAACCTCCGACCGGATCGACTATGCGGCGCATAAAACGATATTTGGATTAAACATTTAATTGACTGCTGAGCGAAACCGGTCATATAGACCATATATATAGAGATATCACCAGGGGTTGCTGCTGCTGGCGGGGATTAGAGCCCGATTCCGATGTCGTGGCTTCATTACCATATCAATGTCAGCAGCAGCAGCAGGCGACTCGGCCGCAATGGCAAATCCTCAGCACGGGATTTAGATTTAGCTGCCTGAATCCGAAGAATCTGATTTCGATTCTGGTGCGGATTCTGCTGCTGCTGCTGATTTCGATTTGGCTTCTCGAGGAAATTCGCTTAAATTTTTAACAAGACAAATACGCAAAGCACACGGCCACCACCCACCTACTCCCCCACCCATTTTCCTTCTCTCTCCCGGTTTTTCCGCTTCTGGGAAACAATCACAGAGAAAGAAAGAGAGAGCGAGGAAAACTTTTCTAATTTTGCACAACTGGAAAATGTGGCCGTGGGCGTCGAAAGAGAAATGGCAACAGAAAATCGAAATAAAAATCATCATCATCGGGAGGGAGCCAAGAAAAAGTTCGAAGAAGATGATGATTTCCCCCCGCATTTTCCCTGCTCTCCATGTGCTCAAATGGAAAAGTAGAAAAACCTTTTATTCCACAATGTTTGCTTAGTCCTCTGCCAATTGAACTTTTTCGCACACAGCCAATCGAAGGGGTAGTGGCTGAAAATCAAATACAATACTTAGACGAGTTAATTTAATTTTTTATTTAAAATTCAATCTGCGAACTAAAACAAAAGTGGAAAAAATCAGGTCAGAGTTGGGGAGGGGAAATAAGAAAAAATAGTAAAAAGTTCCATGTGGAAAAAGGCCAGAAAAATAATAGGAAAAAGTGCAGCACAACTTTTGAGCTTAGCTTTCTCTCCCTCTTCTTCTTGCCTTTCTCAACTCAATTTTTCTACTATTTTTACATCACATCGGTTTTCCCGTCGGGAGTTTTTGGCCATGTAAGAAGTTCAGTGCAAAGGCAAATAGCGAAACCCCCGAGAAAAGTGGAATGGAGAATCCACTGAGATTCGCAAAGAAGAAGGGGGAAAGGGGGAGTGAAAATATCCTGGTCCTGTGGTTCTTGGCCTGCTTAATTATTCAATAATTTCTAAAAGCATTTGGCCACATTCGACGTCATCAGCCGTCATCCTTTCATCCTTTTGCAACATGTGACAGGACCTCGCCCCTTCGTCCTTTCCCCCGTAATCAGTTGAACACATATACCCCGGCTCACACACTCAAATATCTGCATTTATGTAAGCTTCCCTCGAAGGACCCCACTGTCCCCCGTATTACACTGAGCGAAATGTGCTAAAATTACGAAGGAAACTGATGATGACATAGCTGCTGAGGCTAAGTGAACACAAAACGAAACTCCGTAATCTCAAGAATTCGCGTTTCTAGATGAAAAGTGCTAGATTGTAGACGATATCTATTTTGCAACATCTAAATATTTTAAGTCTCAAGAATTCGCGTTTCAAGGTGAAAATGTGCTAGATTGTTGACGATTATACAGTGATATCTATTTTGTTACACCTAAATATTTTACATAAAGTATAAGCCAATAAATATAATGCTAAATTAGAACATGACCGGTATATAGTTTATAGTAGAGTTTTAAGATTTATTAGATTGGTATTACATGTAAATTAATTTTTTCAAGTGATCCCCATTTTTGCACCCCCACATAGGTGACATTGTAAGGTCTTTTCGCTTCATTCGCTTTTCCTGACTGGCTTTCCATTTGAGCTTGTGTGAGTGAGCTAGCCAGAGTTGCATTTATCATTAGTCGTAGCTTAGCTTTTGTTTTCCTGCATTTGCGAAGGGGTAGGAGGACAGGGTACGAGTTCAAGCCCCGGGGGCCATTGGGGATTTTGCACTTGGGCATGTTTGATGTGGAAACTTTAGATTAAAATATTTTCATATGCACACACACGAGGTGGAACAATAGCGATAAGGGTCACCAAAGTGCTTTAGATTATTGGAAGAGTGTATGTAAACTTTCTTCAGTAGAATGGCTGTATATGCTGTATATATATAGCCCTAACCTCCAGAAGGAAGAACGGCTGGAGAAAGGAGAAAGCAGCGCATCTCCGTGGGCGGATTGAGCGCATAATGATGTTTATGTGTTGCCAGAAACATAAAAGCATTAATTTAGTCATTATCTTCTTAAGATATAGCGTCGGCAGAGGCAGAGGCGGAGAATCTGAATCTGAATCCCCTGAAAGCGGAAAGAGAGCGTCAGGCTTTTTGCCACCCATAATTTCCATCAACATTTTTATGCTACCCCATACTACACATCATAACTCACTTTGATGAAAGAGAGAGAGCTGCTGTGCCTCTACCCCTCTCTTTCGCTCTCCCGACAGCTATCTCTTTCTCTTGTGGGCCGCGGGGTCTGTCAGTGATGACTTTATCTGTATAAATAACTGTCAGTGGGTAAAAAAAAATAAGTAGAGAGCGGAAAAAGCGAAAAATTATGGCAAAGGGGGTGTGAGAAATGGGGTTCTGTGAGTGGGGACATTATCTCCGTAGCGCCATCTTTAACCAAGACCTCCTGGCAACCTTAAAACCGGGAGCACTGAAAGATGGGGACACCGACACCTTCAACCACCTTCAGCGAGAGTGAGAGAAAGAGCTATAGAGTAAAAGAAAGAAAGGGAGGGAGGTTTATAGAGAGAGAGGTCCAAAGAGAGAGCATTACCAAACAATATGGTAGCAGTTGAGGGCGTGGCTTCACCCCGATTTCATTGGCTGAAATGCAAAAATGTCCGCTTGAAGAGAGAGTATGTCCGTATGGCGTCCGTTGACTGAGAGTCTGTATCTATATCTGTAGAACTCGCTTGACGACTACTCAATCAACAACTTGTCGGGCGGCATTGCTCTCACAACAGTTTCGCAGCTCGAGCGGACAAGAAGGGTTTCCCGGTGGCTGAAAAACCTGTGAAAATTATCACAAAAATAACGACGCGATTTTAGTGCGTGTTTCAAGTGCGGCCTAAGTGGATTTTAATCGAATATTGTGCACCAAAGTGACAAATCTAAATCTTTGTGGATTTTCTTCTAATAACAATAAGTTTTTAAACGTTTTGTGCGAAGCAACCCTAAATAAAAACCATTTTCCACCTCAAAAGCTCCAGAGACACCTTCAAAATTCTCTCCTCACTTTGGACAGGAGGAGGCGGTGGAGGAGCCACCACCACCAGCACTCCCAGCACCACGCCCACCGCCGACATTCCGCCCTCGTCGAAGGCCAAGTTCAAGATCACCGTTGTGAGCACGCCCAGTCCCTCCCCGCCGCCCACACCACCGCCCCCCGGTTCGATGCTCGCCCAGATGGTCGAGACCAATTCCCCGCCGGCGGGCTATACGCTCAAAAGATCGCCCAGCGATCTTGGCGAGCAGCAGCAGCAGCCGCCCAGGCAGATCTCCCGATCGCCGGGCAACACGGCCGCCTATCACCTGACCACCGCCATGCTCCTGAACTCCCAGCAATGCGGCTACCTGGGCCAGCGATTGCAATCGGTGCTCCAGCAGCAGCATGCCCAACACGCCCAGTCGCAGAGCCAGACGCCCTCCTCCGACGACGGCAGCCAGTCGGGAGTGACCATACTGGAGGAGGACAGGCGAGGAGGAGCTGCAGCCGCCTCCCTGTTTACTATCGATAGCATCCTCGGCTCGAGACAACAAGGAGGAGGAGCTGGATCAGCTGGCAGCCAGGGCAACCACATCAGCAGCAATGGCCAACAGAATGGACTGACTGCAAATGGCATCAGTTTGGGCCTCAAGAGGAGCGGCGCCGAGTCACCCGCCTCGCCCAACTCAAACTCCAGCTCCAGCGCAGCCGCCAGTCCCATCCGACCGCAGAGGGTTCCTGCCATGCTGCAGCATCCCGGCCTGCATCTCGGTCACCTGGCGGCCGCGGCGGCGACTGGCTTCGCAGCTTCCCCATCGGATTTTCTAGGTGAGAAATACAAAATGATTAGTATCCATCGTTCATTAGGATTTTTGGGAAAACATTTGATACAGCAAATTAAACAGTTAACATTATTTGTTCATATCTTCTTAAGAACTTCGTCAATCATCAGAATTTTTAGGATACAAATTCCGAAGTTATAGGCTTATATAACATAACCATGTTTTATGGGATAAGTGATTTCACTGCTATTATACAATCAATTCAATTAAGGTCATAATGTCAGTCGCGATTCAATATTAAAGTTAAAATTTAAAAACTCCTTTAAACTGACTGACAATCCACCATTATTTTTGAGTTTCTTGCTTCCTCCGACCACTTAGCATGTTGCAAAATACTTTTATGAGGCTTCCCGTCGAACTTTAAGTCTGAAAACACCTTGAGGGAATCCACTCATGCAGTCAGCAATCATCCATTCACCCACTCTCAACCTGACATCCTCATCCCCACCCACTGAACCGAATCACTCCCCCTTCCAAGCGAATCCTGAATGGCATTATTCATAATTAGGCAATGATCCGTGAAAGATGATTCCGCATTTCCCTTACATTTGCCTTCGATTTTGCGGTGAGAGGATTTGCATTGGGCTCTAAGTCTGAGATTCCGGCTGGAAAACCCGGAAAAACCTGCGTCTGGGGGTGGCTTTAAGATGGGCTCGTGACTTGTGTTGATTCGAGCGTGGATCTCCGTCGGAGATTTATGCAGAATCCCGCTTAAATTCATTCAAAGGCTCCCCCGCAGGACATGAATATTAAAAACCCGGGCGCAGCTTTTTTCCCCCTCAGCTTGCTGCAACCGGAAACGGAAATGGAAGCCTCACATACGCTTACAGCTGGGGTAAAAAGAATAGATTCAGTTTTGGGATATCATATGCCAAATTTAAGTATTTTAAAAACAGCTATTTAAAGTTATAATAAACAAGAATGAAATTATTAGGGCTTTAAAATAATTATAAAGGTGTCAAAAAGTATGCAACAATATATTGTATTCAAGTACAATGGATTTCTTCAGAAAGCCGCCGTTCTTTTAGGCACTTTTTTAAGTGATATTAAAACCTTAACTGCTATATTTTTGGCCTTAACTGTAAAGCCAACATGGCGGCCGTTTTATTTTCCGCGCTTCGTTATGCGCATTTTTAAGGATTTACACAGGAATATTCCACTTACCTCCATGCCCTCCATTCCTCTTCCGGGGCGCTTATATGATGATGATATGACTGTTATTACAGCCAGGGAATAATGAATTTTCCTCTTGTTTTCCCTTGTTTTTCCCGGCACAGTGGCGTACCCCAACTTTTATCCAAACTACATGCACGCGGCTGCAGTGGCGCATGTGGCTGCCGCTCAGATGCAGGCGCATGTGAGTGGAGCAGCCGCCGGATTGGCGGGTCACGGCCACCACCCGCACCACCCACACGGACATCCGCACCACCCACATCTGGGCGCCCACCATCATGGCCACGGGCAGCACCACTTGGGCCATCTCGGCCACGGACCTCCGCCGAAGAGGAAGCGTCGCCATCGCACCATCTTCACGGAGGAGCAGCTGGAGCAACTGGAGGCCACCTTCGACAAGACCCACTATCCGGATGTGGTGCTCAGGGAGCAGCTGGCCCTTAAGGTGGATCTGAAGGAGGAAAGAGTTGAGGTTAGTTGATCTTGAATATATATTTTTAGGGAGTTTTTAAATTTGTATACTGTGTGAGTGTCGGCAGGGTGCGGGAAGAGGAAGTATTTATCCCACACAGAAAAAACATTCCATATGAAATAAGATCATTTCTACCTTATTTCATATCAATATCATGATTATTGTCAAATTTATGATTCAAACATATCAATTTGACATTTTAGCATTTCATAAGAGCTATAAAAATACTGTTTTAAAATACCAAATTTAGTATATTTTGAAGAAATATTGTTAAATAAGATAAACATCATATTTATTCATATCAAAATGATATGCATTTCAATCTGATCTTTTGTGATGGTGACTTCTGTGGAACATTTAGTTAATATTTCTTATTCTTAATACAAAATAACCTCCCTTACTCTCTGAACAACAACCTTTTCTTCTATTTGGCTGTAATTTCACGCTCATTTTAATTCCCCGCGTGAAACCAATTGAGTGCCACACCCCCGTCCTTCTCCACTTAACCAATATGAATCAGAATCTGAATCTGAATCTCTGGCATCTGCATCGCAATCTCCCCCATGAGAAATTCTCCTTGTTTATTTAGTTGTCAGCGGCGGCGTACATTTTGCGGGGCTTCTTCGTTCTTCGTTCGCCGGCGAAAGCAAAACAATGCCAATCCCAATGATTCACTTAATTTGGGTAATGGGACTTGGGATACAACCGCATGTTTAAACGGATGGTGATGGTTATTTGCTCGGTGGTTGTCCCTGAATCGTATCATTGGGAATGTAAATAAGCAGGGATGCCCTTGTAAATCCCACCCCGGGCGACCAGAGGGATAAACCAACCCCCACATCGGCAATTGTGATTCAAAGTCCATTAGTGTCGAGGAAACCCGACAACAAACAAACAAATTGAGAGGTCACCAAGGAAGAAAGTGACGACAAAAGTTGACAATTTAATTTGTTCACGATTTCTGATATTTCGCGTCTTTGATAGGGATTAGCATCCCCTTAGTTTTGGTTTCCCCGGCAATATTTGTGTGTTTGTCAACCGGTCGAATGTTTAATCTAACCCATCTGTAACCCGTCCACAACCCCAATTCGCCTTCACCTTTTGCAGAAACGCAGGAAGGCGGACAAGTGCGACATTTGTTGACACTCGCAGGGGTGTGGGCTTATGTTTGGCCTTCAGCTTAAGACAACTTACACATTAACATTACTAACCATTTAGGATAATGAGAGGCCTGGCGTTACTTAACCCGCAGGCGAATTGACGCCCGCCTTTTGATTAGGTGACACATTTAACCCGCGGCCCTTGCATTCGAATCCTAAGCGGATTATAGAGCAGGTTTGTGAGATCTACATGGAAAATTGAGAGAAGAAGAAATGATTTCCCAACTTTTCAACTAATTGGAAGTCGGGGGATTCAAATCTGCTGGCTCATGGGGGCGACTAATTAACATACAACACACAAAGAGAGACTTCAAACTTGTCTCTGACAAGCAAAGTGGATGAAGAAAGAGACAGAGGCAGTCCAATCGGCAATCCCCAAACCCCCCAGTAAATCTTGTGCTCAGTCATCGCTCGTCATTGACTTAAGCAGCATAATCAACTTCAGGCTTCCAACTTGGAGCCTCAGCTTTTGTGACTGCTACTGTTTAGCATATTTGCATGCCAAGAGTTGCCACTCGAGACCCCCCGAATGCCCCGCGATTCCGGGACAGGGGCTCTAAGACCCCAGCAGTCCGGACCATAAGTGGCAATAATTATTGAAAATCTTGCCTAAGACAAACAGCAGCAATAACAAAAGAGAAAACAGAAGGGAAAAAAATGAACAAATTCGAAGCCTACACAAAGGTTGCTCTAAAAAAGGGGTCTATTGAATCGGTGATCCATTAGGTAACACCTTTCATTAGTAATCTTTTAGTTTGGTAACCTCTAATACGAAAAATGGTGGAGGTATCTCTAAAGAAAGCCAAGTTACTAAAGAACATTCAGCAGCATTTTATATATCTTATTTAATGGTATAGGTATTAGTACACATTTTGACTATATTATAGTTAAGATCTCCCCATACCAAAAATCCCAGCTATATCTCTACAAAAAGCTCGGTTCTCATAGACTTCCTACAAACCCATCGTAATTATTCAGTTCCCAGCCAAACCTCGTTGGGCATTTAAATGATCTGCTTATTTTGACTTCATCATTTACAATTATTATTTTTATTTAGACACTCGAGGGTCGGGTGGTTTCGGATCGGATTGGTTTGTATGGGATGGTATGGGCTTGGATCGTAAAACAGTAGCTCTACCTGTAGAGCAAACAAACTCGTTCTCTTTGTCCGTCGACTGCCTCTCATTTTTCGCCTTGCCTTCTTTGGTGCGTGCAAGTCAAATACGCCTAATCCCGCAGCTCAAGTGATCGAGGTGATTTGGTTCTCCGATCTGCCAGATAGAGAGGGATATATATAGATATAGGAGGAATGCCTGGAGGGCATTTCAAATATTTGTCTTCGGTCGTCGCCAAGAAATTAGTAATCATCAGCTTGGCATAATTTGTGCTCCTCTCTCTCTCCGCCGTTCGATCGCTCAACTCTACAAATATTGATGTTACCCCTTCTTATAGGGAGAGAGTGAAGAATGGAGAAGAATGTGCCCACTCATCATCATCGTCACTCCTCAACTGACTGTGATCTCTGTTTTCTCCTACTTTGTCGTTTTGTTTTGGCCAGGACTTGAAAAGGGCTCGTCACCCTACTGATATAGTATACTATAGGATTCAGCCTTTCTTCCAAGGATCATCTCATAGAACTCAAGCGTTGCCGCTTTGAAGTTGCACAATTGAGAGGTCTCGACTTGAAAAGGGGTTTTCGGGGCCCACCTGCGTTGGCAATTAACCAAAATACTGTATTATTATTATTGTTGTCTCTCCTTAGACACAATAAACACATATATGCCTCCTTCCCCGTATTTGTTTAGCCTCGAAATTGAATTAAAAACGGCAATGAGCTGGAATCAGCAGATTTCCGTTAATTTTACCCGAGGTCATGAACCACCAACCACCCACTGAACAACCCACAAATCTCGCACCCCCTTATTTTCTCGGTAAATGCTGTTGTTATAATTTTTCATAATTTTCCATTATTCAAACACTTGAGTTCCGGAGGATGCGAATTTCTCGAGTTATCCCCCGGGATTTTTCGGGCAGCAAAGTGCGTTTATAACCTCGAGCAAGTGGTAAAATGGAAGGAGCGAAAAGGAAAAGGACTTTTCACAGACGCTTTTCCCCATGTTTGCTTTACAGTTTTGGCTGTCGAAGCGTGTAACCGTAGACAAATATTATCGCTGGGGGAGAAAATTGCCCTCGAAGCTGCATAAATTTACACAAAAAACGCAGTGGGTGGTGGTGGGTGAGGGGTGTTTAGAGTGTGGAGTACAGGTGCACTCCACACTAAGCCCTTAAAAGGTCGTCCGTGTCGGCGATTAGCCTGAAAATAAAATTTATAAAAAGATAACATTTAAATGGGCTTTTTTAAGGGTAAAAATTCATTAATTTTGATGGGTTTCCATGAGGCGAAAGATGACAGATGAAATATGAACATCGCTTTTGGATTTTTTTTAAGGAATTTAAAGAAATGTTCCCTTTTTTTAATCCGCATTATTAATCAAGATTCATAAAATAAGTTTACTCACCGTCTTTTTTTACACTTTCTATATCATTTTATACAAACAAAACAACTTTGGTATCACTTTAAAAAAAAAACAAAAAACTTAGGAATCACTTTAAAAAAGCAAAAATAACTGTGGTATCACTTAAAAAAAAAACCAAAAAAATTTGGTATCACTTTAAAAACAAAACAAAAATGTTGGGTATCACTTGAAAAAAAAACTTTGGGTATCACTTAAAAATAACACTTTATTTGACATTTGCAATAAGAAACTGTACTAAAACGGTTGACCATTTATATGTACATATGTATGTAAGTATAAATGTAAATGCAAAGTGGCAGCGCCCACATACAAAAGTACATACGAATTTCTTTCTTTCTAATAAAAAAGCATTTTACTGAAGTTTAAGGGCTTTTAGCTATCTAATTATTTGACTAAGACTTTAATAAACACTTAATCACACAATTTAATTATAGTTTTTGGTTTCTTATTAAACAAAATCATGATTTTCTCGGCTTAATTTGCGCATCCACTTTTTTCTGATTGACAAGCGGTGAAAGTCTTTGATTTAGTGCACTGTTGATCTCTATTTTATTAGCACGCGATTGCCCAACCTAAAGAACCTTTTCGTTAATGGATTAAATACACTCTTAACTATTTATTGCACTTATTAAACACCAAAAGTCACTTTTTTATGCAACAATTTTAACTTTTCGCCCGATTTGTTCTGCTTCTTCTTCTTATTTGACAGACGCCATCCTTGTGTATTTTATGCGTATTTTCCAACACTGTGTTCTAACTTAAATACGTTACGTTAATACGTTATTTAGGGTTACCAACAAAAATAAAAAAGTAATGTATTGAAAAATGAATGAACAAAATATTTATTCTACAAAATTTGATAGCCAAGTTTGATTATTAAAAAATATAACTAGTTAATTAAGGCTTTTACTTTGAATGGCCTATTGGCATATTTGTAGGCAAAAGGAAATAAATAACAATAAAAATAAGCCACAATACCAATTTTCAACTGAAAGTCTCAAGTTACTATAATTTACGGTTTCTATTTTAAAGATCAGATTTTATAAAGAAATCTACTTTTAAAAGTGACAGTAAAACCTTTTCCATTTTGGCTCTTTAATTAGTGCACTTGCTTAACCCCCCAATACACTCGAAAAAAAAATGGAATGGGAATGTGCGTAACGAGCAATTTTCATGGGTGCGCGATTTTAATCCAACAACACGACGGAAACAGCGTCAACAATTTGGCAAAAAAACTTTGAATGGAAATTGCGAAAATGAGCAGGAGGAGGAGGGGGAGGTGGAGCACCACCCACTTTGGTGACGAAGTTTCCGACCGACTTGTGTTGCCAATTTTCACTAATTAGAGCGACTGGCGAAAAGGCAGCCGCCATTTTGTGTTTTCCACCGTTTCTCAACCATTTTCCACCCATTTCCGCCCCCCAGTTTTCCCCCTCATCTTAACCCCATGCTCCGAATTTTTATTAAACCTCTCCTAGAGCCAGGCAAAAATGTGATTTCTCTCTTTTGTTTTTTGGTCGTCTCCCTGGCGTTTTCCATGTTTTTTGGCTTTTGGCGGGTGGACAAAATTTTCCGGTCCTGGAAAAACACGGAAAAATTAGAAGGGAAAAATCGAAAGAGCAGGTGCAGCGATTATCGAAGCGCAAAGTTATCATAGCATTGCAACTATGTGCTGCATTTTCGGAAATATTTCATGGTAATCCAGCCACGCAGTCAGCAGACTGGTCAAAAAACCCAAAAATAACACGCACACATCATGATGGTCAGTCTGCCGAAAAGGCCACGCCCCCCGAGCCCCAACCCCCTGAATTTCCCATTCGCAATTTCCCAAAGGGGGGCGTAAAGCGCTTTTGTAGTTAATTAAAAATCAACTGCCGTGGGTATGTTTGTTCAATGGATTTCATGCACGTTTTCGAATGTGTGCCGCTCCTCGGCCTTTTCGACCCCCGGGACTTTAACCCCTTTTTGCCCCCCTTTTCCCGATTTTCCTGCGGTATCAGCGATTTATGCGCTTTTGGATGAAAAATCTGTGGCAATATTTGCAGTGGCCAGTGGTTCCGTTCCGTTCCGCAGATCTCTCGACTCCAAGGCGCGAGCCAATGCATGTCAAGTTCGGAGCTTCCTGGCACGAAAAAATGCATCAGGCTTTCATTCTACACTGAAAACGGAAGGGGGAAAGATTGAGGAATTTTAAGAAAAAATATTTGAGATAAAACAAAAAATATATTTGAGATATTACAGATTAAAGTCATATTTTAGATCTTAATGTTCCAACAATTCAAAATCTCCAACGAGGACTAACAAATATTAGGAATACGATATTCATATATTAATTCTAAACGTTTTTTTCCTAAATGGCTAGTTAATTCTTTGATATTTGAGTCTTAGAGATTTCTAAACATTAAAAAGGATGTCTAAAAGTATGCAACGAAAAGAAATATGTTAAAAAATATCGAAATATCATAGTTTTAATTTTTAATCTTACTTTTATAAGAAGTTTTTTATCTCAGTGGGCAACTGCACTTTCGCCATTTTGTTGGCGTGTTGTTGAAGCCATCAATCAACATGGGAAATCGCCCACCACACACAGATCCCCTGGAAAACCCCTCCGAAAACGCCACTTTTTGCGCCTTTGTTTATTTAATTTCTCCAAATTTTCACTGCGATTTTTGCGAGCGTGCCAGCCAGCGAAAATCGGCAAAAAACGCGCCCGCGGTTATGGCCAAATTGTTGTGCGTTAGTCAGATTTTAAACGCGTGGCGGATGGAGGGAGGTTTGGATGGTTGGATTTACCCAAAACGGAACTCTGTTGGCCGTAAAAATTACGGGATTAGCAGAGCGAGTGCGTTTTTTCCACCGCACACACACGTTTCCCAAACTCCAGACTTTGTAGTTCCGCCGGATTAGGGTTCAATATGCTTTCGGTTCGCTGGCTAACATTTAATTAAAATATGAAACTTTAATAATGCGCCGTGAAAATGGCGAAAAAACCCAATCAGGCGGTAAAAACCGCTAGCAGCAAAGTTCGTGATTTTTTTTTCGTCTCGTTTTAGAATTTATGGATTAAAGCTGTTGCATAGGTAATTATCGTGTTAGTTTCGTGTGTTGACACAATTAAGCTGAGTAATTCACATATATTCATGGCTGCGAATTTTGAAAAACGCGACGCGTTTGTTGTTTTAATAACTTAAGCTCATAAAATTATGAAAATTATGAAAATAAATATGCAAAATGTATGGGAAAAGCGAAAAGAGAGAGTTGTCAAAAATCTAATTAGGCCCAGTAAATGGAAAATTCAACTGACATTTGGCGAGGACATCAAAAGCGTTGCTGAATGCCAAAAGTTCAAAGGTTACCAAGGTGAATATCATAATTTAAATCCTAAGCAAATAAGTCGAGGAAAGCAGCTGCAAAATTCCACACAAATTTAATGCAAACTTAAATGAGCTCGAATATGAATTTCCGAGCTGCAAATATCCTTTTGCTTATAAGTTTATCGCATTTCCCTCTGTCATTTCCCACTGCCACTTCCGTTTCCGCTTCCTCTTCTTCAGTTATTTCAACAAATTCAGTCGATTTGCTGCATAAACATTTCCCGAAACTCCCCCCACCGAGAGAAAACTCAACTTTTTCCTCAAATGATAACATTGTGGAAAATCAACTTTTCCACCGCTGCCTAATTGTTCTAATTAAACTTTTTCCTGGCGAATTTTCCCCTAGTATTTATTCAGCAAATAATCAACAAACAGACGGACAAATAAACATATAGGGGTTGCAAATTCACCATTGCACTCGGATTGGATTGGGCAAATAGAGCACATCGCAGGGAGAATTCTCGCCGGGAGAACTGGGAGAACTCACGGGGAAAGAGAGAAATGACTCCGCCCTCCGAGAGGAGAATGGGTTTTTGGGGGTAGCTTTGGGGGCTAATGACAAGACAGGATGGGTTCACTGCCCACAAGGGTGATTACATAAGGGATTCATCATGATGATAACTTCCCTGTTGCCTGCTGATGATGTTTAACCCCTAAGTCACTTCACAGCCGCCTTTTGTTTTAATTAACTAAGTAGCAGAGGGTGGAGAAAACAGATGACAAAGGGTTAAAGGTGGGGTGTAAAAGACAGAAGCAAAGGCGTGGCCCAAGCCTAATTAAAAAGATAAAAATAAGAGTAAATCCAGCACTTCCTTTTTTTACCTGCCTAATTAAAAAGGAATTTTAATTTTTTTATTTACCAAATATAAATATTTTGGGATATATATTTACAATTTTAAATATTTTTTTCATTTCATTTCAAGACCGAAATAATATTTCCCTTTACCAATCATAGAAAAGTTTTTTTCCCCGCCTTTTCTCTTTCCTTTTTTAACCCACCCTCTTCTGAATTCTCAATTAATTACAATTACAATAAGTCATCTCATTAAACCCAGAAAAAGGAGAAAAGTGGGTGTGAGGATTGCTGTCTCCCTGGCAACCGGCCAAAAAGATAACCGCCAAGATTGAGAAATAGAAGCCTTGGAAGGGCAAAAAAAGCGGAGAGAGAGGGGTCGAAAAAATTACTTAAAATATTTATGAGCAGAAATCCCAAGCAGAAGAGCGAATTTCCGAGCAAAACGGATGAAAGTGTTTTTGAAGCCCCACGCTCAAAAGTAACCTAGGTAGCCACCCCAGCCACCTACCCACTGAATTATTATCCCTAATGGAGCAATACAGTATAGATTTCTTACGAAAATCTAGCAAGGGAAACTTAAAAAGTTTGGCTTAAAATCTCTGATGCGGGTTTGAAAATATTTTATTGCAAACTTTTGGACACCTTTAAAAATCTAAATTAAAAAACCGAAATTCGAAAACAATTCTGAAATTATTTATAATATAAAATTTAAAATTTTCCTTTACTAAAAAATCGTTTTTCCTTTTATTTTTCCAGGTGTGGTTCAAAAACCGTCGGGCCAAGTGGCGCAAGCAAAAACGCGAGGAGCAGGAGCGACTGCGGAAATTGCAGGAGGAGCAATGCGGCAGCACCACCAACGGCACCACCCTGAACAACAACAACAACAATAACGGCGGAAGCGGAAACGGTACCACCAGCTCGACCGGAAATGGTTCCGTATCCGTCAAATGCCCCGGATCCGATCACTATTCCGCGCAACTAGTGCACATCAAGAGCGATCCGAATGGGTATAGCGATGCGGACGAATCCTCCGATCTCGAGGTGGCCTAAAAAGGGGCGTGGCTCTGGGTGTATATATGAAAAGATAGTCATAAGTTTTAGGATCATTCTAAGGGCCTGTTTAAGTCATTTAAAATACAAAATACATCACTATTTTCTATTATTTAAATGGTATACTTAAAAGCATATTTTATTTATTTATCTTCATTGTTTTAACGACTGAGTACTTAAAATTAAATAGTTCAAAGATCAGATTGCAGTGGCCCTTAGCTCTTAAGTTTTGTTTTGTAAATAGACATGACACATTTTTGAACTTTTTTTGTTACTAAGTTATAAGTTGAAAAGTAACTAGTAAAGTATCTTAATTATATTTAGTAAAATCTGTACAGTCACCTTATTGTAATGTAAATGTATCGTATGTGCGCGAATGTATTGTATCAAAACCATGTGTGAATGCATTTTGTGGTAATTGTTTCGTGTCCTGTGTCCAAGTCCAAAGTTTATTGCATCTAACAAACCAATCTCCATAATGAAGTATTGATAATTAAGACAAACACACATACCATACTAGACGAAAGTTAAGTGTCATTCCTCCAACGATTAATTCTAATGTTAAACTAACTTATTGAAAACCGAAAATAAAACGAAAACTCGCCAAAAGTCAAAAACACACAAAAATGCCAAGAAAAGTTGTTTCAACTGTGGGATGAATGGATGGTTGGTTGGGAAACTTTCGATGATAAGTGGGAAGACCCGGCGAGAAGCTTTCACACCTGCCACTCCGGGTAATAGGAGATGGAGATCCAAGGATAACTGGAAAAATGGGGGGAAAACTAGGCGGAAAATTGGGCGGGCGGCAGCGGTCAGCCTGTTAGCAGCTTCGATGGACACTTTGATGGCTTCGCCTCCAATCAATTTTCCACACAGACACACGGACCACCACACAAAGGATCTCTGAAATGGAAATAGAGGATGGGGCGGGAAAATCTATACGCATCTGCATCTTCTACGCTCTGCGGCAGATGTATCTGCATGTCCTCTGCCGGCATTTGTTGGCCATTTTCATTCTTGCATTGCGAATCGGGGGCCGTGCCAAAACAAGATGGCAAAGTCACTCAAATCATCCCCTGCACAGAGAGAATATGGTGTACCTATTATGTTAAATATCATATCAAAGAATAAGGTACAAATATTATACTTTTAAATTTAAACTGTGGTACCAGTTCTGGTAAGAAAAATATTTGAAATTATAAAAAGAATTAGTACTATTTTGAATTTTAGCAATGCTTACACACAAAAAAATTCACCGCGATCAAATCGATATGCGCACGGTAAATTTCTATTTATACGCATATCGTTTTTACCATGCAATACTCGTAAAATTGATATTAATTAATATCATTTGGCCAAATTCTCTTTCTCGGAGATTCTCTGACTTTACAATAGAGAGTAAAAAGCAAAATGACGACTCTATCATTCAAAATAGAGCCAGATAGATAAAAAAAAGTATTAGAAAGTTCGGTCTTATAAATAATATTTACAATACTTGCTATAAAATGTTGGTATTTAATAAAGAAATATAGAAAACGCCAACTAAATATAAGAGGAAGGAAATTTTAGGAATCCAAAAGAGCAAAATGAATATTTATATCATTATTCAAATATCCTAAAAGTTACATTTTTTCCCCCACTTTCTGCTCACCTCCATCCTGTCAGCCGAAAGTAGACTGACAAATTGTCTCGTTTGGTCTGTGTTGTGTCCTTTTCAGCTTGTTTTTCTCCCCCATTTTTTTGTGTTTTTCTCTTTGGCAAAGTTTCCATCTTGTTATTTTCCTTTGGCAGAGCCGGAGCAGCAAGTTCAGGTCCAGTCAGGTGAGAGACTCTGATTCTGACGACTCGAATCGATGGCCAAAATTCAAATTCAAATTTATTCTATCTTGACCTGACTTGGCTCGTTCGTTGTCTTGTATTTGGTCCTCTGTTCCTGAGTCGCCATTTTGTGCCCAGTCATTCCAATCCCCTGACTTTTATTTGCATAGGCCTATGCATATACCATATATGATACGATCTCGAGTTACCCGCTATCTCCAATCCCGAACTCGAATGCGGGATCCTGGCTTCTGGTTTTTGCGTCGGGTTTTGTTTGCTGCCCGTTAATAGTTCGTGTAAAAATCTACAAATATTTGCACTCTATTAATTTTTCTGATTTCTTTTTTCCACTCCCCCGTCCCGAACCGTTCTCGTGTTTCTTTTGTTTTTCTAGTGCACGCTTCGCATAATTTTTTCCGTTCCTGTTCTGTATCAACACGAAATTTAATATACACCCAGGCCCAAATTTCCCCCACTGCTCTCGAATTCGCTGCTATTTACTCGCATACAGACCAAAACGATTGCTTTTTTTTACGTATTTTAAAATAAAATGTGTACTTTTTAAGCTTTAGGTAAAGAACGTTTCAGAAATATATGGTCTTAAAAATCGACTTATTTCTTGTTTTGGATAAAAATAATTCTACCTAATATTATTTAGTTTTAATTACTATTTGCATTTAGTTTTGATTCAAATCATTTTTAAAATATCATTTTGATATGAATAAAGATTATGTTTATCTTATTTACATTATTTAAAAAAAAATTTTTTTTTATATGATATGATAAAATATCATTTTGATATGTTTGATTCATAAATTTGAAATAAATCATATCCGCTTTTTATTGATATGAAATAGGGTCGAATTGACCCTATTTCATATCGAATTTTTTTTGTAATCTAATTGAAGAACACAACAGAGCAGAAACTATTTTTCTGAGGTGCACTGTAGAGGATAAAATTAAAATATGTACAAATACACATTTTTTATGAAATCTTTTTTTCAACAGTTTTTCTGACCCTCGCTTTGTGTATATGTATATGCAGCATATGAAATATTTACCCATTAAATTTGCCTTTAATTAAATGGGTTCGCCCTCCTGTTTCGTTTTTTTCTTATTTATAGGAGCCAAAGGAGGAGGTCGACATTTCGTTTGTTGAAATAAAAATATTGTTAATTGCAATTTATTCACATGAACACCTCTCTGCGATCCAAATGGAAGGGGTGGCAAAAGTCATTTCGGTCGCATTCGATTTTAATATTTCATTATTTAATATGGCCCTGTTAGTTGGATGGGGGGTAAGGGGGGACTCTGGAAATCGAATGGATAGGCATAATGAATAACTCATTTGCCGACTGGGAGATTCAGGATTCATGAGTGGCGGGGTACCAATTCCTATAGCTAATTGGGAACGGATTGGGCTGGTCGAGGAATTATCATGAAATATTGGAGCACAGCTTCGGGGAAGGATTAAAGCCGATTGCATCCACCTTCCTGTCATGATGCTGGGATAGTAATATTCTTTTAAGATATTTGCATCAGAAAAAGTAGACATTTTTAATCCACTCGACGGTTTTGTAATCAATTTATATTACTTATATTACTGTAATTTATATTATTTATATTAATCATTTAAAATACAAAGGGTATTGGAAATAAACATTCAATACTTTCCAACAAACCATTCATAAATCTTTATAACTTAAAATTAAATAAATTTTCTGTTTAAAGATTATAAGTCTAAGCTAATTGTCAAAAACCCGTTTTAGAATTTTATCTATGATGAAACCAAATTAATATTTAAAAAAATTAATCATCATAGTTTATAAATTAAATATTTTATTGAAGGCATTTTAAAGTACGCATTCTTGTAAAGTTCTTATAAATGTTTGTTTAAAGGTTTAACAAATTTAGTTTCATCTCATCTCGAGATGATTTTTCCAACCTTCAATCAGACAGTTCCCATTTCCAGTGGTTGACCCATGTCATCGCTCCTGGCAAGAATCCTGCCGTAGATTAGCAGGCGAAGCAGGTGAGTTTAATCCATAAAATGTGCGATTATTGCGTTTATGCGGCCCGGGGCGCATTCGATATAAAATATAAACAAACGTTAGAGAAATTACAGCACAAAAGCCGAGCAAGGAGCAGCTCTCAGCTCAGTTCTCTCTCGCCGGATGTCCTTATATGTACGTACTGCGTATGTATATACAACACACATGGCTTGTATCCTTCGCATCCCCTCCTTTTGCTCCTCAAAGGACCGACGCTTATTTGACTATCGATTAAAGTTTGTGGTCCTTGTGCACACAGCCCCGAGTTGCGAGTGCTCGAAATAATACCGAAGAAAAGATTTTCGATTAATTTTAAATGTGCCAGTACAAGCAAAAAGATGGCAGAAGAAGGATACAGTTTGAAAAGCTAGACAGAAAAAAGAAAACTCGAAAGGGTTGGGAAAATATTAAGCATCATTTTAAACCTAAAACGGTAGTTTTCTAAATTTTAATTAAAATTATTTGTATGACTTAAAAGCAATTGAAAATCATCATGATATTTTAGAATATTATAAACCTACATAGAATCAAAAATCAACTCAGGGGAAAAATCTAAAACATGCATATTATTAAAAATGAAAGAGAAAATATACTTATATTTAAGGAAATTTTCAACAGTTTTTATTTTTTTATTTATTTATTTTATTTTTATTTTTATTTAAACCTACATAGAATCAAAAATCAACTCAGGGGAAAAATCTAAAACATGTATATTATTAAAAATGAAAGAGAAAATATACTTATATTTAAGGAAATTTTCAACAGTTTTTATTTTGGTTTTTTTTTAATTTAAAAAAAATCTATAATTCTTCAGTCAGTAATTCCCCCACTTCTTCAATCACTTTCTGAAAAAAAGCAAACCAAATTTCGCAGCGCATCGTTGCGCGGCCTCATAACAGAAGATTATCCAATGGCAACCGGTCGCATCCTCATCCTCATCCACGTCGTCATCCTCATCCTCGTGGGCATCCTCATCCTCATCCAAGGGCCATCCGCCATGCCAACCCTCGACCGGGGATAATGAACTTTTTTGGCCAGCCGAGCGTGTGCCGTTGGGTTTTTCAGTTTTCGAGTTTTTCGAGTCTGTGGCCTGTCCGCCCGCTGCGACATCCACCTCAGCCTCAATTAGCTTATTGTCCCCGTCATTGTCAGCTGCAAAATGGCACCCGAAAGGGGGTGGCCCTTGGCCTCGCAAAATCCACAAGGAGCTTGCCAAGGTGTTAAGCCAGCTGAGCCGGGTGCCCCCAGCATCGAATCTTTGCCTCTGACGGGCCTTTTGCCGCTCCATTCCCGTCCGTTCCCTTGAAAGCTTTGTCTTAAGTCCAGCCAGCTTTTCTGGCCCAACCGGAAGAGTCTTAATCAAGCCAGGCACCCTCGCGTGATCACTTCCACTCATTATTAATTAAATCGCATATTAATTAGGGCATAATACTGAGGAATATTTGAGCAACTTTTTGTTTAAGCCATATAGAAAAGTTTCCAAAAATTAAATGGTATAGAAAATATTTTAAAAGAATACAAAATATAATGTAAAAATTTTCTGAAAATTAAATAGTAAATAGAAGTATCAAAACAATATAGAGATCTTCATAAAATAATTTAAATGAAATATAATGTAAATTGAGTTCGCAAGAATACTCACATTAAATAGTAAAGAAAATATTTGAAAAATTCACAGAGCACTTAAAAAAAATAAATTAGTTATTATTAATTATTAGTTATTAGTTATTATTACTAGCAGTATAAGCACATAATTTATACTATTTTAAAGATTTTACATTTTTTATTTTTTTTAATTGTTTTTTAAAAAATGATTTACAAAATTTCTAAATTGGTTAACAATAAGATATCTTTATCTTTGAAAAACGTACTTCCACTGAAAGCACTTTCATTACCATTCCAAAAATTAAAACTTATACTTGACAGCTCTTAATTTAAATCCAACTCTGTCATCTCCTCTCTGATGTCCACCCTCATTAAGCCCTCATCTGCTGTGAGCTTTTCCTTAAGCCGAGGCGGCTTTTAAATGGAGTGTAGGAGTCCTTCGTTAAGACAGCTTAGGATCAGGACTCCTGCGGGAGTCCACGTTAATAACAGTAAATGGAAATTACAGCCAGGATGGTCAGAGTTTAGTAAGTGTGGGTGGAGCATTGAAGGGCTCTCCCAGCAATTGTTAAAAAGCAAAAGCAAATGTTATTGCCGAACAAACAGAACCGAAAACCCGAAATCCATTCAAATCGCACAATTAGTTTGCCTCTAATCCGAGCCACAAATAAGGCGTTAGCCGAGGGTAGGGGCGTGGCAGGGTATTCCATTGTTAGCAGCACACACATGCGGAATCCATAGAAGCTAAAACAGAACCTGGCCAGAAAAGGTGGCCATACTCGTAGTTAAGGACTTTCTATCGAATTTTACACTGCCCTAAATATTCTTATTTAATACTTATATTATTCTATTTAATCAAAAAATATTTGTTTTCAAATATTATAAATCTTTAATCTTTAATTTAAAATCTTTAATCTTTAACTTTAAAGGCTGAATTTTTATAAATTACATTAATCTAGAACAATTTATAGAACTTAAGTAGTCAGTGAAGAAATAATTGTTTTATATTAACATTTTGTTTTTTACAATTTCAATTCAAAACATTTGTTGTCTAGTGTGACGACCTTGTTTGGTCTTGAACTCAGGCATTAACATTGACTAGAAAACAAGAATAGAACTAGAAACGGGCTTCACACACTCCATTTTCCCCTCTATCCACCAACTTTCCCATTTAAATTAAAGCTACGATTGGATTAACTTTAGTTTACTTTTAACTATGCAAAGAATTCGCCTAAGTTGGATTCACAATACACCGCCCACCGACCCATTCTCCTGTTGGTGCTGATGCAGTTGCTCCACCAGATCGGCGATTCCCTCGACTCCGATGCTCAGCGAGGGCAGCGTCTTGTCGAGCACCAGAAGTGAGGGCGGCGTCTTGGGCTCGCCCTCTTCCAGGCCAAAGGAGGACATGCCGATCCCCTCGAGACACAGTTCGTTAGACGAGTGACCCACGTAGGGCTGCAGCTGCGACTGCTCCATGCTGAGGATGCAGTCCGCCTTGAAGCTGTCGATCGTGAACTGGTCCACGTCCACGCTGAGGAACTTCATCTCATCGTAGGCGGAGGAGCCATCGTTCATGTCCAAGTTCAAGGCGGTGGCGAACTCCAGATGCTGGCCATTCTGCTGATGCTGCTGCTGATGCTGGTGAGGATTAGAATTCGAATGGACTTCAAGCTGTTGTGGCGGGTGCTGCTGCTGCTGGTGGAGATGCGATTCCGGGTCCATCAGCGGTTGTGTCTGCGCTTGCGTTTGAGGTGGCGGATAGGTGGACCACTCCATGGAGAGACCACTGCCACCTCGCTCCAGACCCAGGTGGTCAATGTTGAGGTTGAGGAAGATATTCGGTGAGAGTCTGGAGGGCGACATGGCCCCTGTGCCGTAGGAAGCCTTGAGTTCGTTGTCCAGCGAGTTCGAGGATTGCGGTGGAGTATCCGGCAAGAGAGTTCCACCACCACCTGAAATAAATTTTAAAATATATTCTAGTTTTTCAAGTACAATTTAAATTCACTACCCAATGCACTATCCAGTTGGCCCAGCACAGCACTGTCGTCGTAGGCCACATCCAGATCCAGCGCTCCCTCCTTGTACTCCCCGCCCAGGCCGCCGATCTTCTCCTGCTTGCGCCACTTGGCCCGCCGGTTCTGGAACCACACCTGCACCCGCGCCTCCGTCAAGTCGATCCGCACGGCCAGCTCCTCCCGGAAGAACACGTCCGGGTAGTGGGTTCGCTGGAAGGCCCGCTCCAGCTCCTGCAGCTGCAGGGTGTTGAATGTGGTTCTGCGATAAATAAGTATATGGATATTTTTATAATATATCTTTGAATAATCAATATTTACATATTTTAATAGGTTAAATAAAAAATTCTAATTAATTTTGTCATAAATATAAAAACAATCATACATCTTTATGATCTTTGTTATTATATTATTCAATATATCTTTGAATAATTAATATTTACTTATTTTAATATGGTGTAATCAAAAATTCTAAATAATTGTGTCATAAATATACAAATATTCATAGATCTTGAAAAAATATTATTGATATTATTATTTATTATTATTATTATTAGTATATTATTCAATATATCTTTTAGTATTAATATTTACTAATTTTTAATATGGTTTCATGAAAAATTCGAAATAATTGTGTCATAAATATAAAAATACTTATAGATCTTTAAAAAATGTTATTGATATAAACACAACCGTATAAGATCGAGGTTAGTGCTGTATGTGATAGATATATTCTAACTAAGAAATGGTGTTACAGAAGATATCTACAAATGTCTTGACTGTTTCAATCAAGAATCAATTTCCATAAAAACTTTAGAAATGGTAGAAATATTAACATTTTTAGATAGGATAAATAAGGTATGCTTAATCTTCTAATAACAATACATATTATTAAAATCATTTTATGGAAATTTGTAATAAATAATATTATTAGAATGAAATATTTGTGAAACTAATGTAATATTTAAGATATTTACATTAATGTACGATATATCATATTATTTTTGTATGCTACTATCATATTTTCTTATATGTAACTGTCGATCCCTACCTGTATCTCCTCTGCTTGCGCTTCATTGTGCCTTTGTCCATGCGAATCCTGAGTTTTGAGTGGATGGGAGTGGGAATTTATAGACGGAGTGGGTGGCGAAGTAGGGCTTGGATCTCGCTCAATCTCAATATCTCCCTCGATGCGGATGGGGGTCTTCAAGCGCGTCGTGACATAGTCGCCGAGTGTTTTTCGTTTTTCTATTTTTTAACGATTTTCGTCGACACTTCGAGGGCTTCGCGGTGCTGCTTCTTTTCGCTTTTCCGCTTCGACAAATTCCACGGCGGAAAAACTGTACAGCAACAACAACGGCGACAAAGACGGATAAAGTCTCTCCGGGAAGACAGCTGCAGAGCTCAGCACAAATCCGCCACCAGAGGAAGCTGCATCTCCTGCTGATTTCCTATATCTCCAACTCGGTTTTAGCTGCAATGCGATGTCAAATTGTCCGGCTGTGCATGTCAAACTGTGTGGCACGGCAATGTTCTTGCCTCGACGACGCGAATTCGACTGAGGAGGATTTGGATTTCCACAGCGGACAGTGACAGTGCGTGCAGCCCGTCGAAACGGAAGCCGTAGAAGTCGCCCAGAGTCCACTGTACCCGTAGGTTCCCTACTATATCTATATATCTATGGTGTGCATAAAGGTCTGACCCGGTCTAGCCTCTTCTGCAGTCGTTCTAGCCGGACTTCTTATGCCAGAGGCGCTGCACCTGACCCAAGCTGGCCAAAATGGGAGACACAGTGAGCTCATAGTTTATGGTGACAGGATATAGTTTAAGTATTTAGGCTAGAGTGCTAGCTATAGTTTTTTCCCTTATATTTGGAGCTTAGATTTTCATTACCAACTATTGTAATAAGAGAAATTGTTTTTAAATAATGAATTATATCATTTAGATGTAGTTCAAATAAGTAAGATTAGTTATAAAAAAAGAGTTTATATTATAAACTAGCATAAATAATTTAGAAAATAATCTTAAAAAATCCACTCGCATATTTTGGGATTTATTTTATCATCTTTAAATTATTTCCCGATTTTGTTTTAGTTTTTAGATTTCAATTGCTATTTTTAGGTGGTCTATTTTATTAGTATTTTTAATAATTATTGGTACCCAACTGATATATATTTAAAATGAAATATTTAAGCCCCATCAGATTTATTAAAATAAAATTAACTAACAATTGATATAAAGCCGAAGCGAAAATATTCAAATGAAGTGACTTCCTCTACAGAAAGAAATTCCGGAAAATAAAATCCAATCGGAAATCCATTCTCTCACTACAGCAAAAGTTTTCGGAGCTGTTTCGGAACCCAAAAATACAGAAATCCAGAAACCCACCCTGGTCAACGTCATCATCGATGGGGGGAGGGGGTGGGGAAAAGGGGATCAGATTGCCCTTTGCCTTTGCCTGTGTACAGTGTACACATGTCTGGGTCAGTGGGCTTCCTTTGGCCACTCCCACGCCTCCCCGAAAAGTTCCACCTCCACTTTTGCCGGCACTTGAGGCCTTAAAGCCATTTCCCCATTGAAAGCGGCAAAAAACGTATAAATAGCCAAGGGACTCAACCCCATCAGCCAGGCCACTTGAGCTCCGCATGATTTGCCATTGTTGCGGTGTCAAACAGAGTCCATTGAGTCCATTGTTGTGCCATCCTGTCCAGGTGACGAACCGTAATGGATGCTGTTGCTCTCATCTCTGTCACAAAAGGTAATCCGAGAGGCGGCCTTTGTCCTGGATGGGTATAAAAACGGGAGGACTCCTTTTCCAGAGCCGCACAAGGAGTTCAGCGCTGGACAGGCACAGATCGAGCAAGATGCCGTGGGTAAGTTACAGCTAGGAGGGATGGAAAGCATACAAAATCTATATTTAGATCAGTATAACTTGTGTTATTAACATGTTAAATGTCAAAGTGTTAAGTTCAAAAAAAGTTATTGACATGTGTGTTAAAAATTGTAGCCTACATATATTATTTACACGACGTGTTTTTTACACAGCGTGTTTCTAACACAATGAGTTTTTGACATTTAAGTGACAGCTCACAAATTCCGAACCCTGACTTAGATAGTTATTCCAAGGATAAGTAACCTTATTTCCCTTTCAAGTTGCCCATTTCCATAACGGCGCTGGCGATGATGCTGCTTAGCCTGACGACTGGAGGAGATGCCAGTCTGTACTCCAGCGATGGAGGCTTCGACGAGTTGCTGGGTATGAGGAGCTGCGAACCACAGTGTCAGGAGGAGCAGCAATCCGATCGCAGCACTTCCAAGATGCTGAGTGCTCTCTTCGGCTTCGTTCCCAGTACTCCACATCCCACGGAGATTGCGATGGCCATGCCCCACCAATTGCCGCCCATGTATTACAACGATTTCTACGAGGATCTGCTGACCACCAAACGCAACGATGTCCACTCCGCTGGCTGCGATTGCAAAGTTACGGTTTGTTGGGGTTGCTGACGTAGCAATGGATGTTTACAGCTTTTAATTTCAATCCTGTAGAACGAACTGGTGGACCTGGGCAGCCTGCACTTTCCCCGCTACCTGATGAATGCCGTTTGCGAGTCGGGCTCTGGTCGGGATATGGCCAAGTGCTCCCACGGATCCAACTGCCGGCCACTGGAGTACAAGGTGAAGGTTCTCACGCAAGCAGGTGCCCAGTCGACAGACCATAGCTACTCCTGGATGAACAAGGACCAACCGTGGCAGTTCAAAACCGTCACCGTGACCGCCGGCTGCTTCTGCGCCAAGTGATTTCATAAGATGTGTGGAATATTTGTATATTAAAGCGCCAAAAAGACGTCAAAGTTGCTTTATTGCAGGGGGAGATTCAATTTGGAACAGATTAAAACTTGTATAAGGCATCTTTTCGGTTCTTAAAGTAGAAATTGAGCTGTCTCGTTGGTAACTTATATTCGAAAAGGTAAAAGATATGTCTCAAAAAAATGAGATACGTACAGAATGGGAATATAGTTAAAAGATAATTTCTAAAAGGTGTAAAATAATCGAAAAAGAAATGGATTTTGTAAATATTCGTTAGGGAAGTCAACCTATAAAACGGAAATATATAGTTAAAAGATAATTTCTATAAAGTGTAAAATATTCGAAAGGAATTTGTAAAATATTCGATAGGGAAGTCAACTTCCCAAGGCTTCAGGTTACAAATTGGAATAGTTTTCCAACTCTCTGCGTTGAGTCAAGGCACTTGGACGAACTACTTAATAAATGGACGGTGTAATCTACTTAGCTTATGGACGGTTCGTTTGAATTAATACAAAAATCGGAATGTGCGTGCAATGGCATTACTTTGCGAGGCTAAGAGCGTGAAATGAGCCAGGATCCCAGGCCTAAAAGGGTGATGAACAGGGTCAGACCAACTCCTAAACCCTGCCTCGAAGGAGCACCACTCTATAAAGAGATATGATTAGTTAAAGAACCCCATGATATATCACTTCTACCCACAATCACAAAGTAGTTGCACCTGTCGCCCTGGCAGCACTCGTTGCAGGCCCAATCCTCGTACCAGATGTGGGTGCAGTACAGCTGCATGTAGCGCTTCCTCTTCGACTGGCACTGCTCCTTGGTCATGCAGCGCTTGGACACGTAGTACTGTTTCAAGGCTCCCTCGGAGAAGTACGGCTGGGAGCCCCAGCGGATCTCCGTGCCGCAGACGTTCTCGAAGGGCTCGCAGGTCTTGATCGTGTTCAGGCACTTTTCCGTGTTGCCCGTCTGGTTGGAGCACACATAGCACTCCAGACCGGCCACGAAGTTAACTGGAATTTATTAATTTATAGATTTATTAATATTCTAAATAATATTTATAGGTGTGGCCCAAAAGTCGGGCTCCAAATAATCCACCTTGCGAACACAAGTAAACGGCCGCCAGTGCCACCACAGCTATCTCCCAGGATTTCATCTTGTTGCTTCTGTAATCTCGATGGGCAAATACCAGATAAGCTCGAGGTAAATAAACGCTTTAAATTAACAAACAAAACCACTCCCAAAAAAACATTAGCAACAAATTAGAAGAGTGAGGGAGGTATGCAACACTGGCTGGAAAACACTTTGCAACACTAGACTAGAGCTGACACCTGTGGCGCTTAGTATCCTTTAGCTAGAAAAAGGCTAATTATTTGGAGGGGAAATTTTTATAAAGTAGCTATTTTAAAATATATATAAATTCAACTTTTGGAAACATCAAAGAAATTTGTTTAAAAAAAAATGCAGCTAAAATTTAAGACAATGCAATGGCCAGAAAATTTAGTACTCGAACAAGTAGTATCCTTTGGCTAGAAAACGGCTAGATAATGAAAGGGGAAATTTTTAGAAAGTAGCTATTTTAAAATATCTATAAATTCGAATTTTATGAAACATCAAAGGAATTTGTAAAAAAAAATCTTGAAAAAACTGCAATTAAAAATTATGGCCTCTTGAAATAACCAGAAAATGTAGTACCCGAACAAGTGGCATCGCTATAATTTAATCCCTCAGGTTATAAAATAAGAGGGAAATTTTAAAGCGACAGCTACAAAAAGCCATAAATCCAAATTGAGTTTCCCAGCCAATGGGAAAAAGGCTAAATCCAGCGGGTAGCGAGCCGGCCGGCCATCACTGATTCAGCGCCAAGTGCGCGCAACATTTTCTGCGCGAGATTTGCGTTCTGCATTCTGCTGGCCGCCTCCAGAGGAGCTGCCTCCTGGACGAGACAACTGCTGGACACCGATCACCCCCCGCCACCATGGCCCAGAGCGAGCAGGAGCTGCCCGAGGGCTTCCGGCAGCTGAAGACGCAGGTGGCGGGCCACACATTCGAGGAGAGCAACGCGGAGGCAGTGGGTCTCCTGCAGGATTCCAGGGCGGGATGCGTGCTGAAGCCGCTGGGGAAGCCAGAGTGCGGCGAACGGGAGCTGCGCTTCTATGAGTCACTGGCCTCGGGTGACAATGACCTTGCCCTGCTCCGCGGTCACGTCCCCCGGTTTTACGGCCCCCTCAAACTGGTTGTGAATCGGCGCGAGCGCACGTTCCTCCGCCTGGAAGATCTCACGCGTGGGATGCGCCAGCCGTGCGTCATGGACGTCAAGATGGGTAAACGAACCTGGGACCCGGCAGCGTCGCTCAACAAGCGGAAGCTGGAGGAGGCCAAGTATGTGAAGTGCAAACAGGAGCTGGGTCTTTGTTTACCCGGTTTCCAGGTGTACAGGCCAAGCAGATCGGATGAGGAGCATCCCAAGGAAGCGACAATCCTGCGCCACGGCAAGGACTATGGGAAAAGCTTAAGCGTAGAGGGATTCAAGCAGACGATGGCCTTGTTCTTCAACATCTCCAGGGATTCCAGGAACAGGAGAGCGGGCACCGAGCTGCTGCTCAACGAGGTGCTCCGCCAGCTGCAGGAGATCCTCGCGTGGTTCCAGCGGCAGCGCCAATTGCATTTCTACGCCAGCTCCCTGCTCATCTGCTACGATTACGCGCGACTGGGGAATCCGCCGATGAGCCAGTCGCTGCTCAATGGCCACCGCAGCAAGGAGGACGATCCCGCCAGCTGGGTGCAGGTCCGGATGATTGACTTTGCCCACGTCTATCCGGCGGAGCAGGGTCAGCCGGATGAGAACTACATGTTCGGCCTGCGCAGCCTGATCCAAGTTGTCCAGTCAATACTCCACCGATGATCAATACTCGCCAACGGGGACCAAGAAGTAGACGGAGAGAAGATGATGTTCCAATCTCAACGCAATGAGATACTTTTGTATTATCGCCTAAGCCAAAAGATTAGTCCACAGTAGACGTGCCCACCTGTTGAGGGTTTGGGGAGCTACTCTAAAACGTAGAATAAAACCCGGTTTTTTTACAAATTGTTTGTATATGTATCTGGAAATCGAGCGTATGAATGGGAGTTACGCAATTACGCAACATGACAATGGATGGTGACCATTACTCATTCCAATGAAATGACTAAATCCCCAGATGGTTACACCATAGATATGAAGAATAGTTGCATGGATGATTCGACTTTGCTTTATCATCGGTGCGAAGTAAATATTAACAATAAATAAACATCTATCTAATCTCTTTAGAGATAATAGATCGCTTGCGATTATGGAACGAGCAAGAAATATCTCTTGTAAAATCTTATTATTTGCAAGGGGTATTATGATTTCAGTCAGAAATTGGCAACGCAGTGAAGGAGACGTTTTCGACCCCATAAAGTATATATATTCTTGATCAGCATCACTAGACGAGCCATAGGAATATTCAGAAAAGAAATGGAACACGAATTCTAACTTCGGTGTTTTTTAAATATTACCTTCTATTTTGGGGAATAATATTTTTTATACATCTCTGAATTTTGGATTAAATTAAAAAAAATCGGACGACTATATCATATAGCTGCCAAAGGAACGATCGGAAAATTAACGGGAAAATAATATGAAATATTTCCAGATTTCGAATTAAATTAAACAAAAATCGGACGACTATATTATATAGTTTTCATTGGAAGGACAGAAAAAATAATGTCAAATTAATACGAAATTTAATGGCGAAATCGCCATTAATTTAAGAAAAAAGAGCCAACTAGGAAAAACACCATTGATTTAAGAAAAAAATCATTTTTCTAAATTTAAAACAATTTATAAAATTCAGAAAATTTTCTAAAATTAAGAAAAAAGTAAATTTTATGCGATTTTGAAAAATTTGTTTTGAGTGTATAAGCTTTGGTTGGCCGAAGCTAGCTTCCTTTCTTGTTTTCAGATCATTTCCCATCACTTAAAAACCCCTTCTTCGTATAGTTTGGATTTATATATTTGTATCTTAGAGAATCCTACTGCTAGCCGATTAAAACTTAGAGCGTGTAGTCCAGTTCGTACCGCTCGTACTGGTTCTTCGGGTCGTTGGTGATCCGCGGATAGCCGGCAATCAGTGCGTCCTGCCCTCCGATGTACAGAGAGTTGTAGATCTTCCAGTAGACGTCGCGGACTTTCCGAGCGGGATGAAACAGTCCCTGCAGTGTGTATTGCAGGATCTTAATGGGTCCCAGGGAAACCCTCAAACCATCCACAGAATCCATGAAGGCCTGAACGAGATGCGGCGAGGTCTCAAAGATATTGGGCCACACGTAGTTGAGGAGATGCGTCAGCGCATCCTCGCAGCCAAATCCATAGACGCCCAGGGACATGTGCTTAATGGCGGAGCAGGCGGTTTGTCGGTGCACGAGATCTCTGTCCATGAGGGCATCTTCCAGGAGGGGACACACTGCGTATATATAATCCTTGCCCATTTCTCCAATGTATTCGAAGAGGAAAGAGAGCGATTTCAACACTCCATTTTGAACATTCAACTCCGGCACTCGGTACTCGTTCATCAGCGCAGGGAGCACGGTGAAGGGGCGACACGACTCCGCCACTATGGCAATGGCCACCGTGGTGCAGACGCGGTTCTGGCGCTCCTGGACCTTTAAGTTATTCAACAAAGTGGCCAGCACATCGTGCGGACCAATGGCCTTGGCTATGTAGCCAAAGGTGTTGACAGTGGCCCTGCGAATCGCCTTCTTGTGCGCCTTGAGCAGCTCTAAAAGCTCAAAGCAGATGCGCATCCACTCGCGGGCGGAAACATACTCGGGTCCTCGATCGGCAATCCTTCCCACCAGATCGATGCAGTTCTCCTGCACCTTCTCGTGACGATTCTTCAGGATTGGAGTGAGTCGGGGCAGCAAATCCTTGATAGGCGGCGTCATCTTGGTCATGCCAATCACGTTTACAATGGCTTTTAGGGCTCCTAAAATGCTGCCCAGCACTTCGGGGTACTCCTCACCCAGATACTCGTAGAGCACCACGCCCAAATGACCCATTAGCTTCTCCTCCTGGCAGGTCTTCATCACCACGGCGATTCTAGAGATCAAATCCGCCGCCTGCTGACGCACCTTCGCCGATTTGTTGTTCAATCGCCACAAAATCGTTCCGCAAATCTGCGGCAAATAGGGTTTCACTCGCTTGCCCAGCTGATTTACAATGGTTCCAAAGCCATTCAGCATCACCACATCCTCGGTCGTCTGCTCCTGGAAGGCGTACAGTATCCCATCGATGAGCTGCTCTTCCAGGCGGGAATCAATGTCCGCTGCTCCCAGATTTCCCATGATTTTCTCCACCGTCTCCATCACCATTTTCCGGTACTGTTCATTCTCGTCCTTCAAATCATCCACCACGCGATTGATGATCTCCGAGGCGCCCACCTTGTTGGCTATCTCCACGGTGGTGTCCACCAGCTGGCGGTAGTTTCGCCGGTCCAGCGCCATGCGATGGTTCCAGAAGAACTTGAAGAAGTGCGGCAGAATCTCCTCTTTAATGTACTGCGGCTCCACGCCGTCGGTGGCGCAGCATTGCTTGACTACTTTTAGGACAATCTTCTTCATTTCCTCGTCGGGGGATTGGAACTCGCGGATGAGGATCAGCATCACCTCGCGGGTGTAGTAATTGGCGTACTCGGCGTCCATCAGGGGGATCAGATAACCAATGGCTTTCAAGAAGGCAGCTAGACCTTTTCCGCGATGGGTGCGAATACCCTTCCACAAAGGTTTCAGTACGGAGTCAAAAGATTCAATGCCGTATGGAGTGGCTGCCTCTGCAAGAGCGGCAATGGCCAGGGCCGTAATGGTGCGCACCTTCTGCTGTTCGTCCACCAATCCATGTTCTATAATCTCCACGAGAGCCTTGAGATGTGGTAATATGGCACATCCCATTAGGATGGCTATCTGCTGGACAATCTTGATGCCCGTGTGCCGCGCCTGCCACGATTTCTTCGATTTGCAAACGGCTTTTAGAAAGGGCAGAAGGGAAGGTATTCCCAAAGCGGAAGCCACCACGGCAAAGGCTCGAGCTGTGGTGTTCCTCACATACTCATCAATGTTGTCGATATCCGGTCGCATGGTGGAGATCATGGTGGCCAGACCGGCAGCCTTGGCGAGGTTCGAAATGATCTCCCTGCCTTCTATACGCGCATAGTGATCTTCATCGATGAGCAACGGTTCTATGACCACCAGAATCTTGTGCACATAGGGGCGAACCAAATCATCCAGCTTATAGAGAACTCGATCAATAACCTTGACTAAGAGATGCCGCTCCTGATCCTCCAAAGTGGGCGACATGAGCAGCGGGAGAATCTGATTGAACAGCGGACCTGCTCCGAATTCCCTCGCTTTATCAGTAATCTGCCTTAAGGCTGACTTTCTCATCGGTGGCGACCCATTCTTGATGGTCAGCAGCAGCTTCATAATCTTGCGCTCCTTGAGCTCCTCCGGCGACAGGGAATCCTCATTCACATCCACCAGCAGCTTGTCGAAATACTGCGCATCCTCGGGCTTCATGAACGGCAGATTCTGCCCCTTTGGCTGGTTGTCCATGAACTTGGCGTTCTTATCCTCCACCTGGATGAAGAAACCGGCTGGAGTGCCTGCAATGGGCGTCGGTGTGGCCATTAGCTTCCTGCCAGGAGTGCGCAAAGGCACGTAGCCCGCTGGCGGCGGTAGAATCTTGTAGCCAGGCGGAAAGATCTGGTCGAGTTCGTCATCGGTGTAGGGCCTATTCCTCTCGTCAATCTCCTTTTCCCAGCGATACGCCTGCAGCTGCTCCGGCGTCATGGCGGCCAGAGCTCCGGCAGATGGTGTAGCCATGGCCATGGCCTTCACTCCGATGGGCGTGCTGCCTCCTGGCGTCAGCATGGGCGTGGCATGGCCAGGAGTCGCATGTGGCGTCATGCTGGGCGTCATACTCGGTGTCATGGCGCTCGCATTTGTGGGCGTAATCGCGGGCGTCGCATTCGAGGGCGTTTCATCCCAGCGCGAGCGACGTTTGGAGGCCCCTGGGGTGGATTCAATGGAGATGCTCTCCACGCCGCCGGCTCCGCTGCCCGTACGATCTGGTTTCGGGGTCTCGGCCCATCCGCTGTGTCCGGGAGTCTCGCGCTCTGTTTTCGGTGTCTCATCCCAGCGATTCCGCCGCGCAGACTTCTCGTGACCCGGTGTCTCGTGGCCCGGGGTCATCGCGTGAGCCGGTGTGGCGTCCCAGATGCGGGTATTCAGTCCCGGAGTGGCTCCTGGTGTCTCGCTGCCCTTGTGGCCGGGAGTCTCGTCCCAACGATGGTCGCCGGGGGTTTTCTGTTGGAATATAAAAGGGAAAATTAATATTTATACTTTCTTACTTATGAGAAATACCAGGGTTCGGAAAATAACACACTCTGTAAAAAAAGTTATTGACATGTGTGTAAAAAATTGTAGCTTACATATGTTAGAAACATAAATAACACACAGTTTATTTGTGTTATTTACACGACATGTTTTTTACACAACGTGTTTTTAACGCAATGAGTTTTTGACATTAAAAAGTCAGTCACATTGTGTAAAAAACACAAGGTATTTTTCACATTTTAACACTTTTGTTTTTGACACACATGTAAAAAACTTTGCTCACACTTTAAAATACAATTTGCATGTTTTTAACATGTGTGTTAAATTCCGAACCCTGAGAAATACCCACATCTTCCCAGGTGGGCGTGGCGGCGCTGCTGGGCGTGGCCACCTTGGCCGGGATAAAGCTGTCGCTGACCGTTTGGTCCCATCGCCCGCGCTTCCTGCCGCCATCCTTCGGGGCAGCCAACTCCCCATTGGCAGAGGAAGACGAAGAGGATGTGGCGCTCTTGACCAGAGTGCCCTCTTTGGTCTTCTCCAGGATCCTACGCCGCAGTTCGGTCTCCTCTCCCTTGAGCATCTGCTCCCGCATGATGTCCGTGTAGGTGCGGGAGCCCACATCCGGCGTCTTGCCGCCCTCGGCAAAGGGATCCGCGCGCTCCGGCGAGATGATGATGCGCCGCCGCTTCTGGCGGTACTCATCCTCGCGATCGGCGATCGTGGGACGCCTGCGATCCGCCATGGGATCCACATCCTCCTTGCCCTGCGTCACGTCCTTCAGCACCGAAGTGGGCGCCGTGTAGGTGGTGCGCTTCTGGGGCACCGGGAACCCGTCGTCCTCCTCGTCCTCGTCCACCTCCTCCGCATCGTTGGCCGCAATGGAGGTGTTGTAGCCCTCGTAGCGACCCTTCCCCTTGGCCGCCTCATCGTCGTACAGGTCGCTGTCGAAGAAGCCACCGCTGTCCAGGAGTCCCACGCCCGCCGCCGCCGCTGTGGTCTTGGCCAACTCCGTCTTCTTCTCCTGGATCACGCTGATCTGTGCCTCGATGTCTGTGGGGGACAGGGGAAAAGAAAAGCGGTTGAAAATAATTGATTTTCATAAGAGAGATGATGGCCAGGTGAGCCCGAACCGGTTGATTGGATTCCGAGTGTTTAGGTGATCCCGGTGGGTAAACCAAGTTTTCCGCTGTTCCCTTAGAGGGTGGTTAGCCATTGCATGTGTTAATTTCACTCACCTTCATGTGTTCGCGGAATATTTTCCATTTTTTACCAAATTTTATCAAGACGCGTACATGAAAATTCTTTCGATCATAGAGATGAACCTTTTCCGATAGATCGACAGTGGCGACGTAAGTAGCTATTATCGAAATAGCTAAATATGGCGAACAACAAAAATAGCTAGATTTTACTTTGAGATCCAGAAGGGCCAAGTTTTAAAACAGTTGTAAAATTAATTCAAATTTCGTATACATACTCAACCGATTTTAATTAGTTATTTATTTTTTTTTTTTTGAATATTCTGCTTTTATTTTTTTGACCTTTACCTTGAATTCAAGGGGTTCTTTTTACATTTTTTAATATTGATTAATGTGTTATATATATTTAGCAACTACAATTAAGTTCTGTGAACGAACTCATTCAATTTTAATGAGTTATCCATCAATTTTTCACAATATTCTGCTTCTAAAAATCAATCATTATCCGTAAATACAAATTATCAACAAATTATCCGTAAATATATATTATGGGATTACCACCCAGCAACTAAATATATATTATATTTACGGATAATTTGTCGACCTTTAATTTGTATTTAGGGGTTCTTCTTACCTTTTTTAATTTAGATTAATGTGTAATATTTTTTTAACAACTACCTAAATATATTTACAAAAAAAAATCGTGTCACGACACGGCACAGTGGGCAATAATCGATAGCTATCCAGCTGTTTTCCCACCACTAACAGAAAACTCGCGGCACGTGTTTATTTTTGTTTAGACTAATTCAAACGGCCGCGAAGATGTTGGCCAAAAAGCAGAAAATGCAGGTGGAGGCGGACGCAGAGCCCCCGGCCACGCCCCACACGATACAGGCGCGCCTCATTTCGGACACGGGTGAGGAGGCGGGGCCGCCCATCGACCTGCCGGCGGGGATTACCACCCAGCAACTGGGCCTGATTTGCAATGCGCTGCTCAAAAACGAGGAGGCCACGCCGTATCTCTTCTTCGTGGGCGAGGATGAGATCAAGAAGAGCCTGGAGGACACCCTGGACCTGGCCTCGGTGGACACGGAGAACGTAATCGACATAGTGTACCAGCCACAGGCGGTTTTCAAGGTGCGTCCGGTGACCAGGTGCACGAGTTCCATGCCGGGACACGCGGAGGCAGTGGTTTCCCTTAACTTCAGCCCGGATGGAGCGCATCTGGCCAGTGGGAGTGGCGACACCACTGTGCGCCTGTGGGATCTCAACACAGAGACGCCGCACTTCACGTGCTCCGGCCACAAACAGTGGGTTCTCTGCGTGGCCTGGGCTCCGGATGGGCAGCGCCTGGCCAGCGGCTGCAAGGCTGGCTCCATAATCATCTGGGATCCGGAGACGGGGCAGCAGAAGGGTCGCCCCCTGAGCGGCCACCGGAAGCACATCAACTGCCTCGCCTGGGAGCCGTATCATCGCGATCCGGAGTGCAGGAAGCTGGCCTCCGCCAGTGGAGACGGCGACTGCCGGATTTGGGACGTGAAACTGGGCCAGTGCCTGATGAATATCGCAGGCCACACGAACGCAGTGACCGCCGTGCGCTGGGGCGGAGCGGGCCTCATCTACACCTCCTCCAAGGATCGCACCGTGAAGATGTGGCGCTCGGCCGATGGCATCTTGTGCCGCACATTCTCCGGCCACGCCCACTGGGTAAACAACATTGCGCTGAGCACGGACTACGTGCTGCGCACGGGTCCATTCCAGCCGGTCAAGGATCGCTCTAAAGGTCACCTAAATCTGACTAGTAAGATTTCCTTATTTCTTACAGGGTTTGGAATTTAACACACATGTTAAAAGCATGTTAGATTGTATTTTACATTGTGAGCAAAGTTTTTGACATGTGTGTCAAAAACAAAAGTGTTAAAATGTGAAAAATAATTGTTAACACAAACAGCTCACTTGTGTTTTTTGCAAAATGTGTTATTAAGACGACGTGTTTTTCAAGGCATATATTTCTGACTTTTTAATGTCAAAAACTCATTGTGTTAAAAGCACGTCGTGTAAATAACACAAATATACTGTGTGTGTTACTTATATTTCTAACAAATGTAAGCTACAATTTTTTACACACATGTGAATAACTTTTTTGAACTTAACACTTTGACATTTAACATGTTAATAACAAAAGTTTTTTAGAGAATGTGTTATTTTCCGAACCCTGACTTTTTATCCATTTGCACTAATAAAATGGCTTATTTTCCAGCTGAGGAGCTGCAGCAGTCCGCCCTGAAGCGCTACCAGGCAGTTTGCCCGGATGAGGTAGAGTCCCTGGTTTCCTGTTCCGATGACAACACCCTATATTTGTGGCGCAACAACCAGAACAAGTGCGTGGAGCGCATGACAGGCCACCAGAACGTGGTGAACGATGTGAAGTACTCGCCTGATGTAAAGCTGATAGCCTCCGCTTCCTTCGACAAGTCGGTGCGTCTGTGGAGGGCCAGCGATGGCCAGTACATGGCCACCTTCCGGGGTCATGTGCAGGCCGTTTACACGCTAGCCTGGTCGGCGGACTCCCGCTTGATTGTCTCCGGCAGCAAGGATTCCACGCTGAAGGGTGAGATATAAATTAGAGCCCTGCATGAATAGATTCAATGAATTATTTTGAATTTTTTGTTTTACATGAATGAATTAATTAGAATTTTGAGTTTAATAGAATTGAAGAATTTGAATTTTGAGTTTAATAGAATTGAATTAATGAATGGCATGAATTCCGAAAGAACTCAAACGACAATTTCTTTCTTCAAAAGAAAGGCCCAATATTTCGTGATTAAATCTGTTGAATTTTATTTACTAAGCAGTTAACATTGATTTGTTAAAAATTTTCCACTTTTTGTTCTCAAAAGAAAGCACAAAACAAATCTGAAAAATTCAAAAAATTCATAAAAATTATTCATTACTTAATTCAATTCGAAATGAATTAGAAAACATTCAATTTGTTTCACATAGAATTGAATTAAACAAATTAGAAATTTCATGGCATACTATGATGAACCAAAAATTGAATGATTTACGCAGGGCTCTACTATAAATCTGTTTTTTTTTTAACGCATATTCATGGGTTATTTCTTCCAGTTTGGAGTGTGCAGACCAAGAAGCTGGCGCAGGAGCTGCCTGGCCATGCGGACGAGGTGTTTGGCGTGGACTGGGCGCCCGATGGCTCGCGAGTTGCCTCCGGAGGCAAGGACAAGGTTATAAAGCTGTAAGTAATACTAATAGAGACTTAAAGTTTAACAACATTAATTGGTTTATTTTGCATTTTTTAGATGGGCCTACTAGAGACGCATCTTTGTTTTGTACACTTTAAGAAAACACTTAGAAATAAAGGTCCTGAGTAAATGCCTTCGTCTTCTGTTTCGTACCAATCTAAATGCTCTGCTGCTGGATGATCTTGGCAGTTTGCTTGTAGCGACTCTCAAAGGACTCCTGATTTGAGTAGTATGAAGTGGGCACGGCGGACTCGGATTGCAGGGCCTTCTCGGCGGCCACAAATCCTCCGGCGACACACTCATCCAAGCTGCAACCGCGCAGCAAAGCGGTGATGAATCCCGCACAGAAACTATCGCCCGCTCCCGAGACATTCACAATGTTGTGGACCATGGGAGCGGCATAGAAGCGGGTGCAGTGGGGCACCGAGGATTTGCCCACGTCTAGGAGGAGCCTCGCATCGTTTTCCGCATCCCGGCGATAGCTGAGGAGCACGCCGTGGTCACTCAGCGTGGCAATGATGCAGTTGAAGTGGCAGTCGATTTTCTTGATCATTCCCTTCGCCTGCTGGAGGAGTTCCGACTGCGGGAGCTTGGTATCCGGATTCCACTTGATATGTTCCCCCGTAATAGCTTCCGTGATGGTCTTGAGCTCCTGGAGATTGGGCTTAATCAGCCGTATGTTTTTCGTGAGCTCCGGCAGCAGTTTAAACGGTTTACCCGCTATAAACATATCGGTGGGCTCGAAAAACACGGGAATCTTGTACTTTTGCGCCTGCTGCAGGATGCTGGCCATCGCCTGCTCCGAGATGTTGCTGTCCATGACGATGAGCGGCGCCTCGCGGAAGAGTTGGTGGTGCGCCTGCAGGGTTTCGGGCGTGATGCTCTGGTGGATCTCCATGTTGCCCAGGATGAGCTTGCAGTCGCCGAACTTGTCGAAGATCAGCGAGCACAGCGAGGTGCTGTGGCTGTCGGCCAGGATGAGGCCCCGCTGCAGGGCTTTGGGCATCAGCTGGAGCAGCGTCTGTCCCATCTGGTCGTTGCCCACGGCGGAGATGAGGTTCACGTCGCCGTACAGCTTGTAGATGCCCTCGGCGATGTTGCGACCCACTCCGCCGGCCGCCTGTTTGGCCACCGCGGAATAGGTGGCCCCATCCAGCTTCATGTCGCGCTTCTGGTCGTCCACGGTGAAGGAGAGATCTAGAATGGAGGCTCCCACAACGAGGGGTTTTTTATCGATCCTCTTTTGTTCTAAATTCTCTGTTTTTGTGGACTGTTCACTAAGTGAAGCGGCAATTTGGGCCGCCACTTTGGCATTGTTCTTGATCAAAGCTATGTTGGACTGGAGGCTCCTGCCCTCGGTGATCTTGGCAATGGCGGCGAGCAGGAAAGGAGTCACCTCCTTGCCGGAGATGCCCTGTTCTTTGGCCTGGGCACTCGCCACCTGGATGGCCTCCTCTATCTTCGCTTTATCGGCGGCAAACTCCTCGGGAATGGGAACTCCTATCAGCAGACCCGACTCCATTTTCAGTTCCCGCCAGGAGCGTAAGAGTTCCGCCGCCTCCTGGGCACTCTGGAGGTTATAGGGCACCCTACATCCACTGTCACGCGTGTAGAAATCCGGAAAGACGCCGCCGGGACTCGCGTAGCTGGCCACGCACACGCCCTGCGTTTCCAGGTACTCCAGGGTGCGCGGGATGTCCAGGATGGACTTGACGCCGCTGCAGACGACGGCCACGGGCGTGCGTCCCAGCTCGGTGAGATCGGCGGAAATGTCAAAGGTTTCCTGACCATCCCGATGAACGCCGCCAATTCCTCCGGTGGCAAACACACGGATGCCCACGCGGTGGGCAATCAGCATGGTGGCGGCCACCGTGGTGCCACCGCTCTGCCGACGGGACACCACGAAGGGCAGATCCCGGCGGGAGCACTTGATCACCTGGTCGCGCGGCTTCTTGGCCAGCGTGGTGAGCTCCTCGCGCGTCAGGCCCACCTTGATGCGCCCGTCCAGGATGCCAATGGTGGCCGGGATGGCTCCCTGCTCGCGCACCTGCTCCTCCACCGCCAGCGCCGTGAGCACGTTCTCCGGCATCGGCATTCCGTGGGTGATGATCGTGGACTCCAGGGCCACCACCGGCTGCTGGAGCTGCAGCGCCTGCCGCACCTCCGGATGCAGCACGATGTGCTCATGCCGGCGGTGCAGCTGCCGACGCACCAGCCGCACGGCGGGAAACGGAAACAGGACACATCTCCGGAGCAACATCGGAACACCAAATCAACGAGAAACGAAATCAAAACAAATCAAACGCACGCCTGCTGATCCTCTACAGGGATGACCAGCTTTTGGCTATTAATAAATTTGGCGCGTTTTGGCGAGCTTTCTTCATGTTGTGATATAAAGAATTTGTTAGTTTCTTTATAATTACATTTTTTAAAACCTATTTAATTATTAGGTTTTTTACAATGTTTCTTTCATCTAACAATTAACTACTAAGTTTAAAGTTTAATTTATTTAACGCTAAAAAAGTTTATAATTTAACAGCTAGATTTTAGCTATAACTAGAATGAATGTCACCACGTACAACTTTTGATAACAATTAAGCTTTGCGATAGACAGTTATCGGTTTTGACTCGACCGCGAACAATTTGAATTAAAATTAATAAAAAGGGGTGTGTAGAAAGGAATGTTTGTATCGTTTCCAAGTTTATAATCCTTTCTATAATTATAATAAAAAGAGCGAAGGTTAATTTTATGTAAATATCTTAATTAAAATGTCAAAAGTAGGTCGTAAACAATTATTTTTAATATTGTACTAGTTTTTATACCATTGTTTTATTTTATTAATACCGATTCTAATTGCTATACCCATTTCAGAAAATTACTATGCTGGATCACCCGGAACACGACATAATCTTGGCGATAAGTGAAAGAAAGATAAAACTAATAGAAGTTTAATTTAATCATATCTGAATTGGAAAATATGTAAGTGACCATAAATAGATTTAAGTCTAAACCTTATTTAAATGCACTTACTTATTATAATATAAACAAATAATTTTGCAATCTGATATGAAAGGAAACTATGGTTAATATTATTAATTGCAGCTGAATGAAGATACGCATATTACAAAATGCATATTCTCTTCTATAGTTCTCTCTTATCAAAAACATCCCGCATTGCGGGTGATTCTGATTCTGCGAGCGAAACTGGCAGTGAGAAAAGTTCGCGGTCTATTTTGGGGACCCATCCTATAGCATCCCATCCTATAACTATTCCCATCCCATCCCATCGCTTTCCATCCCGAGAGGCGTCTGCGGTTCAACAGCCGCTTGGTTCAGTCGCCTCATGCCGAGAATCCGTATTCCGTTTTCTGTTTTCCACATAAACTAAAACTGAAGAGCATCGGCTATTGGAGCTATTTTTAAGCACTGGGGCGACATTTTTCTTGTTTTCTCCCCGATTCGCCTGCGAAAACACACAAAAATTCGCAAAAAAAAAGAGCAAGCCGCCAGATATATTAATAAAAGCAGCGCTGCTTCTACGTGGGATTCGGTGGATTGGTTGGGTTCTACTGAAATCACTGCATTCGTGATTTCGCCCGTGGAGTTGCACATCGTCTGTCTCTATAGCTGGCTGAAAGAGTAAGGTGACTTGGTTATATATATGGTATTTTATGTAATATATAATAGTAATAAATCTACTCACAGATTGCAAGATGAATGTGGAGAAGCTGAAGCGCCTGCAGGCCCAGGTGAGGATCGGGGGGAAGGGCACTCCGCGGCGCAAGAAGAAGGTCATGCACCAGACGGCGGCCACCGATGACAAGAAGCTGCAGAGCTCCCTGAAGAAGCTCTCGGTCAGCACGATCCCGGGCATCGAAGAGGTGAACATCATCAAGGACGACCTGACCGTGATTCACTTCAATAACCCCAAGGCGCAGGCCTCCCTTTCGGCCAACACCTTCGCCGTCACGGGTCACGGGGAGACCAGGAAGGTCGTGGAGATGCTGCCCGACATCCTGCCCCAGTTGGGCCAGGAAACGGTCGTCCAGCTGCGCATGTACGCCAATGCCATGAACAATCAGAAGGGTGGAGCAACGGGAGAAGGCCCCATTCCCGCCGAGGAGGATGACGATGTGCCGCAGCTCGTCGGCGACTTCGATGAGGTGGCCAAGGTGGAGGCCACCAGCAAACCGGCGGAGCAGGCACCCAAGGATTCGGTGGATAGCAAGCCAAAGGATAAGCAACAGCCGAAGAAGGACCAAAAGCAGCCGCAGAAAGCACCGGAGAAACCCAAGGAGAAGCAGGAGAATAAGAAGGGTCAGCAGGGCAACAAGGATAAGGCTGATAAGGGAAATAAGAACAAGGATCAGGCCAAGGCTCCTCAGCCAGCTCCTCAGGCCAACAAGGAAAAGACACAAGCTGCGGAGGCTCCCAAGCAGGAAGCTCCCAGGCAGGAACCCAAAAAGCAAGAACAGGCAAAGCAGGAAGCTATAAAGCAAGAACAGCCAAAGCAGGAACTTCCAAAGCAAGAACAGCCAAAGCAGGATCTTCCTAAGCAGGAACCCAAAAAGCAAGAACAGCCAAAGCAGGAACCTAAAAAGCAAGAACAGCAAAAGCAGGAACCTAAAAAGCAAGAACAGGCAAAGCAAGAACAGGCAAAGCAGGAACTTCCACAGCAGGAACCTCCCAATCAGGCTCTTCCAAAGCCAGCGGTAGAGGCAAAGAAGGAACAAATCAAACCTGTTGACCAGAAGATTGAAACCAAGGCGGTGGAACCAAAAGTGGAGCAGGCCAAGCCCGCTGAGCAGAAAGTTGAGTCACCCAAACCGACTGAGAAACCCAAGCAGATTGAGCAGCCCAAAGTCATTGAACCAAAGGTGGAACAGCCAAAACCAACTGGACAACAAGTGGATCAGAACACCCAATTAAAACCCACTGAAACGAAGGTGGAGCAACCGAAGATTGAGGTTAAACCAGAGGAGCCAAAGCCCGAACCGGCGAAGGAGACGCCAGGAAAGGCGGCCACTCCACCGGCCGTCCAGACTCTAGCTCAGATCGTGGCCTCCGAGCCACCTAAGCAGGCCAATCCTCCAGAGAAACCAGCCGTTGAAGTGGCAGCGGCTCCTAAAATTGAAGAACAGAAAAAGGAGTCGCCTCCTCCAGCCAAGTTGGAGCCAACGACGCCTCCAGCTGCACCTGTGGCCACTGCTGAGCCTACCAAGAGTGCTCCCAAACAGGATTCTCCTCCAAAGAGTGCTACCAAACAGGATTCACCACCAAAGAGTGCTCCCAAACAACCCTCACCTCCCAAGAACACCCAGGATAAGCCCATTGCAACGGAGAAACCAAAGCAGAAGACTCCTCCGCCAGCCAAACAGGTTACTCCGCCAGCTCCAGAAGCTATCAAGGCGCCAGCACCGGAAGTTTCCAACGCGCAGATTACTCAGGCACCACCGAAGCCACAGGATCAGGCTGCCAAACCAGAGACGCCATCAGTTCCCGCTCCGGCCACTCCTGCCGAGGCGCCATCCCCCTTGGCTCCCTCCACTCCGCCCTCGACTCCCACCTCTGTGCCACCTTCTGCAGCTGCTGTGACTCCACCATCTCCCGCTGCAGTCACTCCGCCGTCGCCTGCAGCAGTTACTCCGCCCCAGAAACAGGCTCCTGCTGCCCAGGCCCCGAAGAAACAGGAGGCAGGAGGACCGAAGCCAAAGCAGCAGCAGCAACCGGCTCAAAATAAACCACAGCAGGCGCAGAAGCAGCCACCAGGAGGAGCAGGAGCAGCTGGAGCAGGAGGAAACAAGCCGCAGCAGAAGCAGCCACCCAATGCCAATGCCACTGCCAAGCCAGCTGTGGCTCCGAAGCCAGCTCAGCCGGCAGGGAAACCAGCTAATGCAGCCCCAAAGGCACCAAATCAACAGCAACAGCAGGGAAAACCAGCCAACAAGGCTTCTCCTCCCAAGCAAACGGGACCAACTGGAGGACAGCAGAAGCCGGCGGCGAACTCCCCGAAGGCCACGCCCTCTCCAAAGGCGGGAGGCTCCCCGAAACCCGCCACCCCGAAGGCGGGAACCCCTCCCAATCCCAATCCCAATCCCTCTGCCGCCCCTGGAGGCCCCAATTGATCCCCTTTCTCATCTCTTTTTCAATCGGCTCCCTTGCATTTCGAACTTGCGCGCATTTTCAGACTCTCTTTTCGACTTTGTTAATCTCTCTCTTTTAATACCAGGTACTAACAGTTTTTTGATAATTTGTGCCCTTTACTTTTTTCAATAAAATTATAATTTACAAAAACTGTTATTTTATTTTAAATCTAATGAAATATATTAAATTTTAAATTTGTGGTAATGGAATACTAATTTTAAGGTCGTATTGGAACCTTTTTATTTTTATTGTAAATTCCCCTATGATTTGTTCTATAACTTCTTGGAGGAAGTATTAAATAATTTAGATTTTTTAAGTAACACATAGCATACATATAATTTGGAATTCTTCCATTGATGATAACATTCTTTGAATTTACCGCTCATTTTCAGGCACTTTATAACGATATCTTATCCAACTTCGTAGCCCTGGTTCGATAAGTTCTAAAGCCCATGACATATTGTGCGAAACAAACTTAAAACTATGGGATTTCGGCCTTCCGGCCTAATTGGCCTTGGCATGACCACTGCCCGAGGGCTTCTCCTCCTCCAGGGGCTTCTTCTCCTCGGGATTCAGCTTCCAAATGGAGTAGTTGAGGGCGGTGGCGAATCCCAGCCAGGCGAGGTAGGGTACAAAGAGCAATCCGGCGGTCTTGTTAACCTTGTAGAACAGAACCCCACAAATTCCAGCGGCGCCAGTGAGTGCGACTATGTCAATAAGCCCCTGATGGATGGAAGTGGATTAGATATAGGTATATAACTTGTAACGATGATATCACCGGGTACTCACGCCCTTGATATTGTGCTGCCCGAAGAAGATGGGCGTCCAGGCCCAATTGAGGGCCAATTGGGTTCCGTAGGCGATGAGGGGCAGCCTGGCCGCCTCCCCCGAGAATCCTCCGCCGTCGCGCCAAACCAGATAGGATCCATAGCCCATTCCCGCGTACAGGGAGATCCACATCGGAGCAAACACAGCATTGGGCGGCTTGAAGGAGGGGAACTTGAGCTTGGAGTACCAGCTCTCCAGGTGCTTCCTGGTCAGCCGCCCATTGTAGATCCCACCCAGATTCGGGAGGATTACCGCACCGGCGATACGGAGAATGTTTCCAGCACACGGACGATCAGCCATTTTCGGAGTTTGCACTGCAAATGAATCGCAATATCGGGGAGCGTTCTGCTTTGCCCGTTTTGTTTGCCGCTGATTTCATTCGACTGCACGAGTATTGCGTGTTCACGGGGCGAATACGCGATGTGCGATTGTGTGCGTAAGATAAGGGGGGACCGTTTAGCACTTTTCAAGCTAAATTTTTAAGTTCAGTTTAAATAAAATAATTTAGTAAACTAAAAACCACTGTGCGTATTATTTATATTTTATTATTATTTATTTAATATTATTTGTATTATACTTATTCCTGTCCTTATATGTGGAACATTTAATACAAGTTGAACATTTTTATTTAACTTTTATTTTGTAGCTATTTTTTAGGGTTGTTTTTCCGGTTTTTTTTTGGCTTTGGAAAGGTAGACTTTCTCAACACTCATTACCTTAATTGTTAAGAGAGTCACATGCGTAGAAGGGGACTACAAAAATAATTATCAAAGCTAGTATGATGTAATGGGCTTGGAATTATTGTTAACTAATGTTTAAAAGTGTTTAAATTTGATTTAAAATAATGTGAATATCGTAATAATATTCGATATTTTGGAATTTTTAAAGTGCCCGAATCACCCTGTGGATTAGCACGTATGACAAAAACCGTTAACATTCAAAAGTAAGAAATTTCCATCTGAAAGGTAATTCTTTTATTTGTTGTTTACGACCTGCAATTGGAATTTATTCTTCAGAAAGTACAGATGATTTTGTTTTCTACGAAATAACGTAAAGTGGACTTAATAGCAATTGAAACTGTATATTTATCTCTGCCTTGATAAGTTTAGTACTCATAAAGCAAATAAATAGATTTGTTGCCCAACGAATTTATGGTGAAATGAAACTGCTTTATTTATTTACACTCTTTTGTATTCCTCAGGTGCCTGAAAATACACCAAATGCCGGCTGTCGCCTTTATTTTGGAGCAACCAAGGCAACCGTTGCTAAGGAAACAAATTTTCACTGTGTTTTGGTTCCTGCCGGAAAAGTTCAGTTTCATTGCAGAAAAGGACCATTAAGATGACACTGTATTTCGACACGAAAATAGAGTTTCTGGACTCGGATGCAGTTAGCACCATCAGCAGTTGGCATCCCAGTGAGCCCCTATTCGCAGTGGCCTCTTTCAGTCCCGAAAGAGGCGGTTCCGTTACCATATTTGCGGATACGGTGAGTTTTTATATCGGCGGAATACCTTCCATAACAGATTCACACAAAAATAGGTACTAAGCACGATGTACTATATATGTATTTATAAATTAAATATTACTTTATTATTACTTTAACCAAGTTTGCCAAATTAGGAAAAACATACTTTAAATTCCATGTAACATTTAAATTAAAGCAAACTAGTAAACAAAATAATAGAAAATTCCAGAAGGCCTTTAAAAAAAAAGTATGTAACAACTCTTTTTTAGGGTTTCTGAAAAAAATAAATATTTAGATCAAACTACCTTTGACAACAAAAAAAATCGTCCGAATTGACAGGTAAAAGTTTTCGTTAACGATGTCCTGTCCAGAGAGATTTAGTTGCAATAGGCCTTTGGTCGAGGTAAGACCTACTCCGTAACTAAATATTAAAAATATAATAAATTGCAAAGTGCATACGAATATAAAAAGTGGTAACTACATTAAAAAATATAAAGTTTACAAGTCTTTTACACTAACACTTTTACAATAATCAAAAGTGTAAAAAAAGTCGTAATGATATGATAAAAAGTGGCCTAAACGAAACTCTCTATAGAAATAACCAGTTTTAAAGTGCCTTTGGTTGAGGTAAGTTCTACAGCCTAATATAATAAAAATATGAAAGCCACAAAAAATAAACACAATACAATATTAATATTAATTAAAAGTGAAAAATACCCTAAGCAAAACTCCATATACCTACACATCATCAGTTTTCTAGTCTCAAGCTAAAATCATTTAAATGGCATTACAAAAAAAGAAATTAAATTGAATTGCAATCAAGTTACCTTTGAAATTAGTATCATACGAAAATGACAGGTGAAAAGTTTTTTAACGAAATTCCGTATAAAGAGAATTAGTTTCAAAGGTTCTTTGGTCAGGACAAGTACTAATTACTAAATCAAATATTAAACAATAAAAAGTGAAATAAAGACCTCGAACAAACAATAAAAATTTGTCACAAACAACAAATCTATAACATTTTGTACACTTAAATGTTTTACAAATAAATGTGAACAACTAGGGAACAATTTACCTTACAAATTAAAATCGTACAAAAGTGACAGGTAGAGTGTTTAATTAAAATCCAGAATGACAACTAAAAGTGACGTGAAACAAATTCTGTTCAGAAAGTTTTAGTTTCAAAGGACTTTCGGTAGAGGTAATTACTACTCTCTTATTAATATAACTATTAAATAGGAATATTGCTAAATACCTAAAACAATCAAGTGATTAATACTCCAACCATATTTTAGAATTGGAATCAAGTTACTATTGAAGTTAGTATCATATGGAAATGACAGGTGAAGTTTTCTTAATACAATTTCGTATAGAGAGAATTAGTTTCAAAAGTGCTTTGGTACGGAGAAGTACTAATTATAATATTAAACAATAAAAAGTGAAATAAAGCGCTTGAACAAACAATACAAATTTGTCGCAAACAACAAATCTATAACATTTTGTACACTTAAATGTTTTACAAATAAATGTGAACAACTAGGGAACAAGTTACCTTAGAAATTATAATCGTACAAAAGTGACAGGTGGAGTGTCTAATCAAAATCAAGTATGGCAAATAAAAGTGACGTGAAAAAAATTCTGTTCATAAAGTTTTAGTTTTAAAGGACCTTTGGTCAGGGTAATTACTACTAATTAAAATATTAAATATGAAAATTGCTAAATACCTAAAACAATTCCTTAATATTCCTTATTAATATTTCTTGGTATACAAATTTGAGTAGTTCTATAGTCTATCACATTTTCCAGGGTGAACCGCAGCGCGATGTAACCTATCCGGTGCACGCCACCTCGCAGGCAACTGCGCTGTGCTGGCATCCGGAGAAGGCGCTCCTGGCCAGTGGCTGGGAGCACGGCGACATCCACGTGTGGTTCGCCGGCCACCGGGAGTTCGCCAGCGTGAATGCTCCGCACAAGGCGGCCATTGTCCTGCTGCAGTTCAGCGAGCAGGGCGGCAGGATGGTCACGGCGGATGCGATGGGTCTGGTTACCGGATGGCGCTGCGACGGTCAGTACCAGTTCCTGACAATGTTCTCGCACGATCTGCGCGAGGTGCTGCTGCTCATCTGTTTCCGGCGCACCGTGGAGAGCGAGGTGCGCGAGGAGATGGCCAGTTTGGCCAAGGCGGCGGTGGCCGGCGACGAGAATGCCCTGGACACCCTGACCAACTGGAGGCCGCGGACGGCAGCGCGCAGCATGACGCACTCGGGAGTGCGGGACAACCACTGCTTCTACGCCTGCACCCAGGGTGGAGTGGTCTACTACATCAACCAGGGAGGCGCCTGCGTCGAGGTGATGAAGTGCGGCTCCCTGCCGCCCATTGTCCAGATGTTGTGGCACCCAAAAAAGTAAGTCCTTAGAATACGGATAGAAAAATAACGATATTTTCACAATATTGTATCGATAATTTCGATGTTTTCAAAGATATTTTCGATATTTTAACAATATCATATATATATAATCGAGGTTTTCAGGAATATTTTTGATATTTTAACAATATCATATCTATAATATCGATGTTTTCAAGAATATTTTCGGTATTTTAACAATATCATCATGTTCATGAATATTTTCGATATTTTAAAAATATCGTATCTATAATTGATGTTTCAAAGAAAATTCATCGGAAATATCGATAATTTCGATATTTTTCAAACTATACCTAGAATATGAGGTGCAAACCCTATCAAACCCTACCTTTTTCTAAAGGGACGCTGTCATTTGCCTGATGGAGGACCTCACAGTCACCCTATTTTTAGTGGAATCCACTGGGATTCTCACGGAACTGGACAGAGTGAAGATGAGCGGAAGGGGCGGAGGACGACATGGAGGCATCGCCTGGTCCGGAAACTCCCTGGCCATCATCACAGGCGATCTGTTCGTGCGCATTTGGGACATCGAGAGGAGTGACAATTACCTGTTGAAAATGGATCTGCCGAGCAACAACCATATAGGCTCATCCCTGACCAGTTTGAGCAATGGCACCATGTCCTCCTCGAACCAATTCTTCAGCCACGACAGCAGCGAGAGCAGCAGTGTGCCCCGCAAGACGCCGAAGTATGGCCAACTGAATGGGGAGATCTTCACCTGCCTGGCCTACAGTTCCACTGCTCAGACTCTGTGTGCCGGCAGCTCGCAGGGGAATCTCTTCACCTGGAAGAGGAGCAGCAGCCGACTGGTGAGTGCTCCCGAGGATGCCTGGCAGCTGACCAATGTATCCTCTGTGCGCGGAGCCATCCGGAGCTGCGAGTGGGGATTTAATGAGCTGGCCAAGCCCTGCATGCTGGTCAACTGCCTGTCCAATGTCTATATGCTGAAGGAGCAGCCTCTGCTGGCTGTTCATACGAGGGATCTCTGGGCTGTCCAGAGATCGGCCAAATCGGTGCAGTTGACGCACTGCAGCGGCAGGGAGACCACTGTGCAGTCAGAGTTCCCAGTCACCGCGATGGCCTTAAACGATCTGAGTCTGGTGATGAGCAACGGCAGGAGCATTTCATCCTACAGCCTCCAGAAGGTGGAGAAGAGCCTGGATGAGTTCGACGAGATACTGGAAACGGTGGAGAGCAGTGCTCCACCCACAACGGAAACTCCTACAGCGACTCCTTTGAGTGTGAAGCTCCTCCAGACCTTTCCCGCTGAATGCCTGTCCCTGGATCTCTATAACCAGAACATATTCTGCCTCGCCAGCAGCGATATCATGGTCTACTCCGTGGGTGGAGTGGTGCTCCATAGGATACAACCCAGCGACATTGAAGGAAAGATCATCGGAATGGATTTGAGTGGCTGCTATCTCTCGGTTTTCACCATGAATGGCTATGTGAAGGCCTACGATGTTTCCCGACACGATCCCAAGTTGCTGTTTCCCAGCAAATCGGGACATGACATCTTTGATGACTTCGGGGAGTTCATCCTGGTCAAGTGTAACAGCTTGGGAAGCCATTTGGCAATGGTGATAGCCAGCAGCAATTTCACCCCCATATCTGGACTATTCTGCTGGGATTTTGAGCGCAACAACCTCTTTGAATATGGTTTCCTCGAGGAGGAGGCGACTCTAAGTTCTAAAAAGGACATCTCTTCATCTAGCCTGCCGGTGAGGATCTTCTGGGATGCCGAGGAGCCGCGACTCCTGGCAGTGGAGGTCAAGTCGATGATGCAGAAGAACTCTCCACCCCAGAAGAACTCCCAACCCAGTCACTTTGTTCAGTCAAAGATCTTGCTTTTATTTTACTCGGAGAAGGGAAGCCTCAATGTTCTGGAATCGCAGCCCATGAGTCCGGGCTCCCAGCTGCTCAATCTCTGCGTGCCCAACGTGATCCGCCTGAAGATCAATGCGATGGAGGAGCAACCCCTTCAGGACTTTGTGGATCTGCAGCAATGCGATCCGGTTACCAGGAAGCAGGTCCTGAACTTCAGTCTCTATGTGGCCGAGGGAAACATGGATCTGGCCTACCGCAGCATTCGATCCATTCAATCGAAGGTGATCTGGACCAATCTGGCCAAGATGTGCGTGCACACGAATCGCCTGGACGTGGCCAAGGTGTGCATGGGCCACTTGGAGCAGGCCCGATCCGTTCGTGCTCTGCGGCAGGCCATCGAGGATGACGACCTGGAAACGGAGGCCAAGGTGGCCGTTCTGGCCATTGAACTGGGGATGATCGAGGAGGCCAAGGATCTGTATCGCCGCTGCAAGCGCTTCGATTTGCTCAACAAGCTTCTCCAGTCCATTGGTCATCTGGAGGAGGCACTACAGCTGGCCGAGACGGAGGATCGGATCCACTTGAAGCACACCTACTACCAGAAGGCCCAGGAGCTGCGGGAAAGGGGCGATATCAAGGGAGCTCTGGAGTACTTTGAAAAGACCCAGAATCCGGCGCAGAATATCACGCAGCTGCTGCTCGAAAATCCGGCGGCCATGAAGCGCTACATCCAGACCACCAGCGATCCCAAGCTGCTCAAGTGGTGGGGCCAGTACATCGAGAGCTCCGGGGACATGGACGCCGCCCTGGCGGTCTATCACAAGGCGGAGGATTGGTTCTCGCAGGTGAGACCTATAAGAGTAACTTGAACAGAAAAAGGAACGATAAGAGATCAGATTGATATGTGCTGGCCAACTTAATATTTTCTAAAGTTCAAAGATCATATCAAAATGATTATATTATAATGATTAATCTTATTTACATTTTCTGTGCAAAAAATACTAAATAAGGTAGAAATGAAGTTATTCATATCATTTTGATATGAATAAAGATTATATTAATCCTTTTTACATTATTTGATAAAAAAATACCAAAATTGGTATTCTTTTAATCTGATTAAATATCATGTTGAATCTTTAGTTTGGGATAAATCATATCCGCTTTTTATTGATATGACACAAGGTAGAAATTATCCTATTTCATATCAATTCTGTTTAAAGATTACAATATTAAACCCCTCTTCTTTCTCCAGGTCAAGATCCTCTGCTACCTGGGCAAGATCTCCAAGGCGGACGCGATTGCCAGGCAGTCGGGAGATCGGGCGGCCTGCTATCACCTGGCGCGGCACTACGAGAACGTGGGCAAGTTCCAGGAGGCCATCATGTTCTTCACGCGCGCCCAGACCTTCAGCAACGCCATCCGCATCTGCAAGGAGAACGACTTCCAGGAGGAGCTGTGGACGGTGGCCAGTTCGTCGAGGCAGCGGGACAAGGCCATAGCAGCCGCCTACTTCGAGGAGTGCGGCAACTTCAAGCACGCCGTGGAGCTCTACCACCGGGCCGGGATGCTCCACAAGGCGCTGGAGATGGCCTTCGAGTCCCAGCAGCCGGAGATCCTGGAGATCATTGCCTCCGATCTGGTGCCCGAGTCGGATGCCGAGTTGATCAACCGCTGTGCGGACTTCTTCTGCAGCATCGAGCAGTTCCAGAAGGCGGTGCATCTGCTGGCCAAGACCAGGCATCTGGAGCGATCGTTGGGCATTTGCCTGGAGAAGGGCGTGCCGGTGACCGAGGAGCTGGCCGAGATGCTCACCCCGGAGAAGGGCGAGTTCGAGGAGGCGACGCGCGTCCACATCCTCGTGCAGTTGGGTGAGTTGCTGCAGCAGCAGGGCGACTACCACAGTGCCACCAAGAAGTTCACCCAGGCGGGCGATAAAATTCGCGCCATGAAGAGTCTCCTGAAGTCGGGCAACACGGACAAGATCATATTCTTCGCCAATATGTCCAGGCAACGCGAGGTCTACATCATGGCAGCCAACTATCTGCAGGCGTTGGACTGGCAGTCGGATGCCCAGGTGCTCAAGCACATCGTGACCTTCTATACCAAGGGGCAGGCCTTCGATTCGCTGGCCAACTTCTACGCCATCTGTGCCCAGATCGAGATCGAGGAGTTCCAGGACTACGGCAAGGCCCTGACCGCCATGCAGGAGGCCTCAAAGTGTCTGGAGAGGCTCAGCCACGCCCAGCACGTCTACAACAACCTGCAGCGAACGGTGGCGGATGTCAAGGCGATCCTGGAGATCCAGCAGGCGTTGCGGGAAGGCGATCACCAAATGGTCATTGGATCCTGCCGCAGCATGCTAAGTAAGTCGGTGCTCCCCTATAATAACATTATTTGTATTTGTTTAGATTGTACTGAAATCTATTTCCTACAACACTTAAGACATTCCAACTCAAAAAGCTTTAAATCAATTAGTTTCAATTTTGTACACATGTTCAAAATAACTGCTTATGCAAGGGATTTTACATCTAATATTTATTTTAAAAATATTTTAATTTTAATTATATTCTTCAAAACCTAAAAATGTATTAACTTTTTAGTTACTTTCTTAGTTAAAAATATAGCTTCAAATGTTATTCTTTTGAATTCAAAATGACTAACTGCTTAAGCAAGGGATTTCAAATCTTGTAATTATTTTAAAGATATTTTAAGTTTATTTTATTCAATATCTAAAAATGAATTACTTGCTAACATTTTTCAAATACAATATGCCAAATATAGCTTAAAATATAATTCTTTTGCAATGGTTCCCTAAAACCCACTGATTACTTTGGGTTTTTGGGATACACTTATTATTTGTAATTTATTATTAATGTATCATAAGTTCTTACGAATAATTCTTTCCATTCTAGTTAAATATCTAAAAATTAATTAACTTTTTTGTTACTTGCTACAATATGCCCAAAATACATAGCTTAAAATATTCTTTTGAATTGTTTCCCAAAAACCCACTGATTTCTTTAGGTTTTTGGGAAACAATTATTACTTGTAACTTATTATTAATTTATCATCAATTCTTATGATATATATTCCATTCCAGTTAAACCGGAACTGCCGCCCATTCGTCATGCCCACATCCTGTCCATGCTGGTTCGGGCACTGGTCTACGCCAAGGATTATTCCGAGGCGGGAAAGGCATTGAAGCAACTGGCCGTCAAGGACAACACATGGAGCTCCTCGGGACTTTTAGATCGCGGCATTGTGCACAGAATTGCCCAGGAATGCGACTTGGACTTTGATCTCATCTGGAATTCGGGACGCCAGGTGACCGCCTCCACCAGCGGCACTGCCGCCACTGGAATGAGCAGCACCTCTGCCATGACGACCAGTGACGATGACGAGGCCGATGACGAGGAGATCACCGAGGAGCTGCATTAGATGATTCAATCTGCGAGCGATGCAGAACTAGTCACGGCCCTGTTTATTCCGCAGAGGCGGTGTAAAGTGTAAATAAGCTAAGCAAACGCCATGAAAAGGTACAATATTAGCTAATGAAGAAAAAGGAATAGTCCAGAAAGCCTGAGATCTCAGCTGAAGTTCCTTATAAGCCGATATATTCCCATTACTAGAGGCATTTCAACTGGCAAGAGTCGGTTATTATAACTAAGAATAACTGAATATATAAACTATAATAATCTGAGGCAAGTTTTCGGAGTACACCTCTCACGACGGTACTTCTCACAGTCCACCAGAACTACATGAAATGTTCCAGCAGGGAAATGTTCTCTGTGGAACACTTACTGTCGGGAATAGTCCATGTTTTCTGGTGGACTGTAATAGGTGCTTCGCGAGATGTGTACACCACGAATTTGCAGCAGAGGGATTTCCCCTACTTATAACAAAGAATTACTGATTAAGTCGGTAAGAGTCGGTTATTATAACTAAGAATAACTGAATGTATAAACTATAATACTCTGAGGCACGTTTTCGGAGTACACCTCTCACGACGGTACTTCTCACAGTCCACCAGAACTACATGAAATGTTCCTTCAGGGAAATGTTCTCTGTGGAACACTTACTGGCGGGAACAGTCCATGTTTTCTGGTGGACTGTAATAGGTGCTTCGCGAGATGTGTACACCTCGAATTTGCAGCAGAGAGATTTCCCCTACTTATAACTAAGAATTACTGATTAATTAATAACTCATAAATTGTCATGATATATGGCATGTTTTCGGAGTACATCTCTCGCGACGGTACTCCTAACAGTCCACCAGAACTAAACCGGATACTTCGGCAGGGAAATGTTCTCTGGGGAACAATTCCTTGCGGAAGCAATCGGTTTCTTCTGGTGGACTGTGAGAGGTGCTTCGCGAGATATGTACACCTCGAACATGCAATAATTCAGCGAATAATATGATATAATAACATGACTACTTGTTGGTATTACGCCCTAGGGGAAAGCACCCTTAATGTAAATGAACCTGTAACACCGTAACAACGTTCAAAGTTCTCAAACAAAGCTGAATGGGGAATATACATATATGGAAGTATTTCGCCACATTACTCACAGCTATCAGTTTATGAATGAACTATATACGATACGATATAAGACGCCCTAGTAAAAGCTTTCCGTAAAAAAATGAACGGTGGGTTCAAGTGACGTATGGACGTCACATCAAAACAAATATAAACAGCGATATGGATTTGGATCGGCATATCTGCCGGCGCCAGCGAAAAAGAGAAAGAGAGCGGACCATCGGATTGGATCGGATCGGCATGAATCACTTGCCCAAAAGCGTACTCTCCTCAGCTATGAAATCAGAAGCGTTTCCAGGAAGCCGGCGGAACTCAAACAAGCCTAAGAGCAATTGCAAGCTGATATGAGCCGAATCGAAAAACGTCACCGTAATAAGCACGTCAAACAATTGGATATTTTGTGATTAAAAAATTAATAACCATATATGGGATAATCTTGTTTTTAAATATAGTTTTCAAGCAATCAAAAAATATCAGCAATTTGAAATAATTTTGTTTTAAAATTAAGATTAAATTTAAGTATTTATAGAAATACAATGTAATCATTTGTATTTTTATATCTGATCTTTGAGCAAATATAAGCGGCCTTTTTTTTGTTATTAAAAAATAAATTTCCGTATATAGGGGAATCCATAAAATACTGGTATTTTAAATTGGTAAATATTTGTTAGTAATAATTAAAAAATGTATATTCTATTTTTTCTGTGCGCTTTTAAAGAGGCGACCTGTTGCCAAAATATCAGAAGAGATACACCGAAATACTCGAGTATATCAATGAGCCACAGACAACTAACGACTCATGCGCGATTTCCCAGAAAGATGACGCGGCAAGAAAGCGAGAAAAACGAATCCACATAGGAGGGGAATCGATGAATGAATTTTCGTTGGCCGCCAAACGACCTTACGCCCCAGCACCACCACCACCCCCTTGGGCCCACACCTCACTGGGCCTGGGGAACTCCATCGGCTTCCCGGCGATCGGATCTCATGTGTGTTTGCTCTATGGACGAGTGACTCATTCGGAGTACGCCAGTTTCACGACGTCATGCTTAAGGTTGTTATTTGTTATTTGCCAAGCGATAAGAGGGGCAATATGGAGAGAGCGAAAAGCTCCCGAACCGAGTGGTAAACTGGTCCCGAGACCCATGGGATTCCGATTCGGATTCGATCATGGGGCAGCCGAATCTGCGAGAGAGAACTGCAAACAGAAAAGCTCACCGACTTCGTCACTGCTTTATCACAGTTCGCCGGTGCTGATCATTAGTTCGTCACTCGCCAATTGGAGCGGTCGCTCGATAGAGCAAAGATCAGCGGTCTAGAGGAATCTACGGCGCTACTTTTGAACCCCCTGGTAGTACTAGATCGTCTAGTTCCAGTTCTGTAATCGGTCAATAACGCTGCAATAACGGTTATTAAAAGTTTCCTATCGCTACTTAACTTTCCGCGAAAGATTTCCGCGATTTGCGGCACGTGTGGAAAGCGCCGAGCTGAATACTCCACTTGTTTGGCCAGCAGGTGAAATACCTGGGTGAATCATCCAGACGAAACATCCTAAATCCGTTTCGTTTTTCCACCATCAACCGGTTGCAGGCTTTCAATAAATTCGAAAATAACAAAGTGTAATTCCAGGAATGTTATGAGTAAATTGTATTGATTTTATAGTGCAAACAGACGCCAAAAATTTATAACTACCTGTTAATGTCGGCAAATAAAATGAGTAATAAAGTGAAGTTATCAGAATTTTAATTGTTATGATTTAAAAAGAAAAGTGGTAAATAAAATAAAAATTATTTAAAAAAAAGAATAAAATACAAATGTTATACAAATAAAAAACAAAAATAAATGTCAAACCCAAGTGAAAATAAAAAGCTTCCAAAAACCTGGAGCTGATAGTGATTCCATAGTTCTCAAGAAGGGACCACAAACATCCCGAATTTAATGGCCATTCTCCAGAAGAGCCAACTGAGCCACAACCAAATCCCCGTTCATATCCAGACGATTAACAGTGTTTGGTGCCAAAAGAGGCCAATTGATGCCATGCACCAGGATGTCTGGCAAAAAAGCATCGGATCTGGATCAGGATCCGGGAACGAGGTCCAACTGGAAGCGAAGGAGAAGAAAGTGGCTCCAGCTGAGGAGGAGAGCCCATCTCCCAGCAGGCGAAGGAGCAGGAGGAGGCGGCGATGCAGCAGCAGTTCCACCAGTGACACCAGCGAATCCTCAGATTCTTCGGAATCATCAGATTCCGGATCCTCCTCCTCCAGCAGCAGTAGTAGTAGCCAAACACCCGCCCTCAACTTGCCAGTGCCACTCCCCCTGGCCGAGGTTAATCCTCCCGCTTCACCCAACCTGCCTCCAACATCCCGTAGGAACTCGCAGGACTCCAATCGCTCCGTTTCGCCAGTGGAAGTGCCCGTGGATCCGCATGCCTGGTCCTCCGACGACATCGCCAGCTGGGTGAGGTGGGCCACGCGCAAATTCAAACTGGATCCGGAGCCGGATGTCGAGCGGTTTCCCAAGCACGCCCAGGAGCTGTGCGATCTGACCCGCGCCGACTTCTGGGTCTGCGCAGGATCCAGACGAGGCGGCATGCTGATGGCCCAGCACTTTGCGATTAGTTTGTACCAAGCCACAGGACGCGAGACGAGTCCCATGCTCAACGACAACGAACCAAGTGAGTTTTAGGGGTATATTCGGATTTTAATAGATATTTGTAGGACTTGAAAACATGTTTTTGGAGCATATAAATAGGGATTTAATTTAGTCCTAACCGTCCTAATTTGTTTCCTTACATGTTTAAAATTGATTTTTTTGAGATTCGAAATATTTTGATAAAATAGGAGAGATATTCAGATTTTAATTGGTTTTAATTTATACATATATATATTTAAAATAGTATTGCATTCAGTATAAATACCATCCATACCCCCATTTTTTGAATTTTCTGAGAATGTAATCAGTTTTATAATAATTAATTCGGACTAGATCACAAACTGCTATACCTTTTGAACATTATTGAGTACTTCCCTTATTTTTCATACATTTTTGAAGTACTTGAACTTGCACAAATATTTTCTTTTGTTGATAATGGTTATTTCTGGGCTATTGTAATAATTTCATAAATGCTTGGACATTGTCAGTGGATTACTCTATAGAGTTAATCAAGTTAGTTTCAGACCCACGTTTTAGCCACTGCCCAGCAGAAGTGGCCAAAACAAGAGAGCTAATCTCGGACCTCATAAATCTGAGGCCTTACGTTCCCGAGATTGATCTGCTTGGTAATTGGGTTCACGTGCTATTCCCAGTGGTGCGATTCCCGGCCTCCCGAATCTCAAATCTCGAATCCTTTGTGGTCAGGCATCAATTGAATCCTTTTTCTCTGACCTCCGCCGGCAGCCAAATGGCAACTGATTAAGATGTTGGCTGGCTGATAGAGCCGTTACTTATGTGCTTCATTGATTGTTTTTCCCCCCAAAGCGCCCCTTATTTAATGGGTGTGTTATCTTAGGGAGGGAGGAAAGGTGGAAAATCCCCTGCCAGTGAACAACCTTTTAATTACTTCGCTAACTTTCCGACTCCATAAACGTAAATCGCTTGGGAAAATCTCTTCGCGACAGCAGCAAAGTATGCAACACTTTTCCAGTTATTAACTGCTCATGATTTCGGGGGCGGGATGGGAAAAAGGGGCGGGGCCTTGGCGGGCGGTCGCGTCAAGTGATGAACTTAATAATAAACGATGTAAATATGATAATTTCTCCCAGGATGTGGCATCTAATAATAAAATCAAAATAATCCCATGCCAGCGACAAAAGTCGCCGAGTCAAGTTTTAGTCAAAGGGGGCGGGAAAAGTGGGCGTGAGTGGGTGGTTTTCTGGCTGTTCCCCCAATGACAAGAGCTCTGCGGGTGGTCAGCTCCTATGCACAGGAAAATATTCATTCGTCGCATCCTTCCTGTGGCAGGAAGAATAGCTGAAGGGCGGAGGAAAGCCTCCTGATTTGGGTCTGGCATATGTTGGTGGGTGGGCTGTACTATAGCTATATAGCTGCCTTGATCCCGAGAGCAGGCGACGTCGATTTAATTGATTTGTTTTTTATGCCAACGAGGATTACGCGTCGTCGCCGTCACGCAGATTACATTTGTTGTGGGCTACAGCTTGTTGTTCCAATGTCTGAGTCACCCTACCTATAATGAAAGCTATCCGAGGTATATAGAAAACTCCAGTACGAAAAAAAACATATTAGTGTTACCTATAGGTAACGTATATCTTTACATTCATAGAAAAATATTTCCCAGTTATAAAATTTATTTATAACATTTCTTAAGAATTCTAAAATATTTTCCCACGCAAACAAAAATGTTTGCAAAATATCTTCTATCTATTTTCGTTTTGGTGAAATCCCCCGACACTTTATAAATAACCAAGTGATTCGTACTGGGTATTTAATAGTCGAAAAGTGGCAAAAAGAAGTAGTTGTTTATTGTGTGATTTTCGGTGGGTGGAGTGGGCGGAGTGGGTGGTGGTTGAGTGGCTGCACGTGGCCTCTGACTTTTGTGACTTCTCCGGCAAATGCCGAAGCAGCGTTTACCCCCAGCTGCGCAGGTGAGCTGTAATCCTCGCCGGAGCAATCGGAGCTCCAAGGATGCTCGGCCGTCCGGTGATAAGGAGCGGAATCCGGCCAGCGCCTCTGACTGAGATTTCAGTTGCCAAACGGCCCTCGTCCTAAACGGTTCACAAGCTCCGGGAAAAACTAAAATAGTTAAATTTTAAACCAAGTTAAATTAAATCAAGAAATCCTAACAAAATAAAATCATTAAACGTTAAAAAGAAATTAAAACCAAAACCAAAAAATGTAAATACCTAAAACGCATTTAAATCATATAAACAGTTATTATAAAAAATTAATACAACTGCTTACGTGCATAACTTATAAAATAAATAACGAAAAACATTTCAAGAAATCACACAAATAAAAGGAAATAATTAAAAAATTCGAATCTAAATAAAATGACAATTTCAGAAAATTCAGTGTCAAGAAATTTCGCAACATATGTTTCGGGTGTTTATAATACTTTATACACTTCCAATAATTTCTGAAAAAAGTGAAGATTTATGTGGTTTCGATCCCTCCGGCACATTTTAAAATTTTATCTGCTAAAAGCCTAAATAAATTATTTAAAACACTTTGTAAAATTTTAAACATTTCAAAAAAACTGCAAAGAATGTAAATTATTACAAAATATAAAAAATAAAAAATAACGCAAATTTAAAACAATTGTGAAGAAAGGATTTTGGTTCCATTTGTATGTTACGGATCTTTTTTAAAACATTAAACCATAATAATTGATTAAAAATAAAGAATACAAAATATTAAAATTTTACACGCAACATTTTTGAAAAAGACTTTTTGAAAAACCCACCATGAGCGTCAGCGCCATGGACGTGGGCGTCATGTGGCGCCTGTCGGAGGATTTCAACCGGCGTTTTGGCCTCCGGATGCAGCCGGCGCCGGCAGTCGGCCAGCATCCCCATCCGCACCACAGCGCCGTGCACCACCACTACCACCACCACCATCAGCACCACCAACATCCGCACACCTCGATGATCTTCAATGGTAAGAGAGGCCGATCGCATGGCCGAAAATTCATCGGAATTTCCGCTGAGACGGGCCGAAAATCGAAGAGACTTGTGTGAATGAACGGCGGCGAGGAGGTTTCTCAATTGGAACCACTGCTACCACTCGATCTCTGGTCTCTGGCATTTCCGGCGAGCGGAGCGCCTAGAAATATGAATGAATGGGCTCGGGATGGCTGGTGGGTCGTGTCGTGGGTCCAACGGTCTGATATTGTCTAGAAGTGAGTGAGAATTGTGTCTTTCGGCCGCGGCACTGCTTGATCGCCAGATGAGTCACCTTGGTTATGGCACTTTCGTGCCTTTGCAGCGGCACTTTGAGGGGATTTTCCCCCACGGAGGTGCACAGACTACGGGATGTGGGAATGTCCCCATGGCCGACAGTCAAGAAAATGTACCTTGGCTAATTTCATCTTAAACCTGTAGGAGATTTATAGTCAGAGGTGATTTTCTTGGATTTTAGCATAAAGGCATTACTAGGTAAAACCTTCAAAGATTTTACCCATTTAAAAAAAAAGAACCTGAACTAGATTTATATTTACTGGTGTCATGTTTGTCATACCCACCTGATAAATTGTACAACGAGTTTCTTTCTTGTGAACCCCTTCAACTCAGATGTTCAGTGACTAATATTTTAAATATTACAAAAGCTAACTTATTTAGCCTAGAAATCTTTAAAAAGGTTAAAATAATTTGTTGTATTTTAAAATATAATTTTTTCTAATTTATCCTTTATTTAAATGTATCCTTAACTTAAAGTAACCTGGTACATTACCATACACAAACATTACTTTAAATTTTAATCTCAAATTATGTTTTATTTAGTATTTTTTATACCTAATCGTCGCTTTTATCTGTATAAATCGGCCAATTCCGTTTTTAAACCTGTTTTTCTCCGTGTGCAGTGTGAAATGCAGGATTTATGTCCATTTGCGGTTGATTTTCTGTGAATCCGCGCTGGCTTATGGCATTCAACTCCAGCTCCTCCACTTGGCACTCTTGCCACGTCCTCGTCCTCCCTTCCCCGCCAGAAAATCTCGTTTAGCCGTCGGTTTCATTCGCGATTCTCTCTTCTCGCTCGCTCTCTCTGCCTTGTCTATCTTGGCGTCTCTCCGGCCAAAGTATCTGTATCTGTTTCTGTAGCTGGGTTCCGAAGGGGTCTGTATCTGTATCTGTATTTTCGCCACTAACCCATCCCCACCTCTGCGCTCTTTTCAGATCCGTATCAGCTGCTGAACGCTGCCTCGCACCGATTGGTCGCCCAGGGCTCCGGGGGCCAGATTCAGCTGTGGCAATTTCTGCTGGAGCTGCTCGCCGATTCGTCCAACGCCGCCGCCATCAGCTGGGAGGGCCAATCGGGCGAGTTCCGGCTCATCGACCCCGACGAGGTGGCCAGAAGGTGGGGCGAGCGGAAGGCCAAGCCCAACATGAACTACGACAAGCTGAGCCGGGCCCTCAGGTGAGTCTCCTCCAAGGTTTGGTCCTTCGAGCACTTGGTTTACCCTACGAAGTTCAAGTGATTAATTTAATATAAAAATTCAATTTTCAAACAATTTTTGAAATTTTCCAATGAAAAAATTATGTTCATGAACGGAACGATTCCCTTTTTACAATTTAAAAACATATTTTTATGTTGTTTTAAATTTAAAATTTATTTAAATATTTCATCGGGGTAAACTAATATGTTCCCCATTAAAAGAAATTTTAAAAATAATTGTTTTTATTTTATTTTTACTGTCCATAAATTCTAACATTTTTATTCTTACATTTTCATTTTCAAGTATGTAAATTCCCTTATCTACAAAATAAATAAATTATCTAAATAAATAAAATTATTTAAATATTTCATCTGGGTAAATTAATATGTTCCCCATTAAAAGAAATTTTAAAAATAATTCTAACATTTTTATTCTTACATTTTCATTTTCAAGTAAATTCACTTATCTACAAAATCAAATAAAAACACCTCTTAACGAGGTAAAAAACTAGTGACGATCGCACCTTAAACATACAAAAGTTCTGATATCAACATTTGTGACGAAAAATTATTACACTCGTCATTAAATAGACTTTCTAATATTTTCTCATTCGGCCCGCCCTAGCAGACTATTCCAGCCTTTTTCCCTTCACAGGCATTTTCTATTGCAGCGTGACGAATGAGAAAAGATTAGAAAGTCTATTTAATGACGAGTGTAATAATTTTTCGTCACAAATGTTGATATCAGAACTTTTGTATGTTTAAGGTGCGATCGTCACTAGTTTTTTACCTCGTTAAGAGGTGTTTTTATTTGATATCAGAAGTTTTTGTTTGTTTACATTTGCTCTCATAGGAGCTAATATATACATTTAAATTTAAATTGGTCAATCATAATTTGTAAGCCAAATTAAACAAATTAAGTTAAAAAGTATTTCAAAATACCTTTTAAACGAGGTATGGCACATGTCTGTACCTTAAGTAGTGTAGAACTTACAAAATAACGAAATTTAGCCATTTTTAGCTTTTTTCCCGCTAAAGTAGCGGGTAGAACAAAAGATTCCTATATGGAACTCTTAAGTGCAAATTTACTGATTCCATGACCCTAAAATACAGTTCGGATACCCTCACACAAAATTCAATACTCAGGAAGCTTTAGTTGTTCAAGCTGGCAAAAGTGGCTATTTTCGTATAAAAATAACTTTTAAACGTGACTTTTTACAGTAATGTGTTATATACCAAAATTTAAGGAATCTCAAGGGCTATACAGTTTAAAGTTTTCAAGAAAATCGTTAGAGCCGTTTTTGAGAAAAATAAAAAAAGTTAAAAAAAAGTTTTAAAAAATTGTCTTTTGTTCATATCTTTTTAATTATTACATTTACACAAATTGCATATAGAAGGCGTTTATAGCATTTAAAAATACCTTTCAAACAAGATGCAGCACAAGTCTGTAGCTTTAGTAGTATAGAAGTTACGGTTTTCCGAATTTTAGCTATTTATGGCTGTTTTCCCGCTAAACTAGCGAGTTTTTCCAAAAGTGGTAGAACAAAAGTTTTTTATATCGATGGGATGAACGTCATATTAAATTTTCAAAACTTAAGAAACATGTTTTGGACAAACTGACAAACTGACAAACTGACAAACTGACAAACTGACAAACTGACAAACTGACAAACAGAATTAAATTTTCATTTTGGGAAGAAGAAGGAAATCTTATTTTGGCTATAACTTTTGAACGGAGCGTCGGATTTTGACAAATGACCCCTCATTCGACGGGTATTTTCAAAAGGAATACAACTAAAACATTGCGAGGGGGCATTTATCCCCACCGGCCCCAACAGCTCCAAATTTCGAAATTTTCACTTTTGCACTTTCACCGCTCTCTCTCCCAAGCCAATTGATTTTCTTAAAGTCTTGGTATGCAATCCTTTAAGTTTTTGCAATACCTTTCGATTGGTGTATTACTCATTACGATCGGACTATCACAGCAGATTTTCAATTTTGCGGCTATATAATAGTAGTCGCCTTCGCACACTCTCCTGGTGCGCTTCGTCACTACATGGACTGCCGTCCATAGTGATAAATAAAACAACCGAATAAATATTTTTTACTAAGAAAAAATCATAAAAATATCACCGGAAAAATATTATAATTAAAATATATCAATCTTCGAAGTCAACTCAGATTTTATATTTCCAATTTTTTCCATTTTACAGGTACTACTACGACAAGAATATCATGACCAAGGTGCACGGCAAGCGGTATGCCTACAAGTTCGACTTCCACGGACTGATGGCCGCCTGCCAGGCTCAGGCGCAGGGAGGGGATCCGGCGGCCAGTATGCTGGGTTCCTACAATCACCACGGAGGTGGGGCTATGCAGTTGGCCCGACATCCACCGCCAGCACTGCACCACCACCCGCACCCGCACCACCAGCACTCGCATCCGCACCACCAGCTGGCACAGCCGCACTTCCTGCATCCGCACCACTCGTCGCCCGCCTCCACCAGCTCCAGCCTGGGATTCCCCTCGTCCTCGACGGCCTCCTCGCAAGCTTCGCCCGGCCAGGTGGTGCCAGGTGTCGCCTCCTCCTCCGCCTCCACTTCGAATTTCACTGCTCCATTCCAAGGTGGGACAACAGCAGCCGCAGCAGGAGATCCTTCCAGGACATCCTCCTCATCGGGAACGGGAAACTACGACCAGGACACTCCCACCACAAACAATGCATTTAATTGAGCCCGCCAGCAACCCCAATTTGTCGCCGGGGTTGTAAGTTCCGATGGGTCAGGATGTTGGGTTGAAGGATGTGCAGGGACCACCCACTGCGCAAAGGGAGCGACGGCTAACCCATCACCACCCATCGAGGGTCAGAGTTCTGGCCGTAAAAAGGTCATTTCGTATAATTCCAGCTACTTTGGGTTAATTGAGCAAGAGGAATTGTGATAACCTAGAGCCAAGCATCGCATCGCATCGCAGAGCAATACTCGGAAACGAGAGCCAATTTGTTACTTAGCCTGTTATCCTTCGCTTCTAGTTGTAAGCAGACATTCGGCAGAGGTCCTTTATTCCAAGACGGGGTCTCATCATTAAATAATTCTAAGTTCGCACACGCAGTAAAATACATGAAGACGTAAATGCAAAATACCTGGGCTAAGAGCCGATTTCTCAATGTTACGTTAAGTGTTGTGTTGCAGTTAAAGTGCGGTTTAAAAAATTTAATATAATGACTCAATATTATGTTACTAAATGTTAAATTGAGAAAGCGAAACTGTCGTTTCCAACATTTTAACTTAACCCCAAGTTAACTTAACCTTAAGATGACATTCAGATATCGGCTCTTAAGTTTCGTTGTTTAGTTCTGAAACATTATATATAATTTCGGGATTAATTTCGACCCTACTCAAAGTGGGGCTGCTTGGAGATTGGTTTGGGAGCTCAGATCGGCTAGACGGCACAGCTGATGGCCAGGATCAGGAACGCCAGGCTGAAGACCACGAAGAAGATGCGATCCACGGCGGTGGCCAGCAACGCCCAGTCAAATTGGTTGGCCTTGGAGCCCGTTGTTTCGGCGGGATTGATGCCCAGGGGACTGGTCGCATCTTGATAGTCGGCATTCTCGTACAGGTGCTCGTCCATCTCCTTGGTCTTTTCCGTCTCCGACTCCCCGGTGGTGCTGAACTGGGAGAGGAGCAGCCACGTGCCCAGCTTGCCGTGGAGCAGCTTCCTCAGCGCCTCCGGAAGACGCCTCTTGTGCTTCGCAGTGGCCAGGTACAGGACCAGCACCTCAATAATCGTGGAGGCGCTCAAAAATAGCAGGGTGGTGCTGTAGAAAAGCACTGAAAGAAAAAGGAAATATTATTTAATAACCTATTTGGTGAGTAACTCGATCCTTTCAATATTTCTATGACCAGGCGATTAAACGATGCAGCGGTAAATACATTTTAGAACTAACTAAAGATAACCTGCAGCCCGAAAATTATTTAAATCTAATGCTAACAGAAGCTGACTCTGAAGGAATTACTAACTATTAGCAAATTTCTCTGTGCCAAAGGGATTGAAGATCAAGCAGCGGTACATAAATAAAAAAACTGACTTTACAAAATCCAAATAAACAAAAACAAAAAACTAAAAATAAAATTAAATAAACTAAAGCTTGTGGAATCTCACTATTGGAATAGTGCTGAAGTAGTATAGTAGGGAAATCAAACAACAAGCTGGTTGTAAACGATGCAGCGGTATATAAAGTGTAAGACTAATGATACATGAAGCTCGAAAATGGTTAAAAACTACTGCTAACGGATTCTGACTTTAAAGGAAGTACTAAACTATTAGATAGTTTCCCTATAAGAAAAAGATAAAAAATCGAGCTGGTTATAAACGATGCAGCGGCGTCTTTTTGGAAGCTAGGACTCACCCACAAGTGGTGTGTTGTTCGAAAGCACGGGCAGCAGTTGGGCAAAGTACATCAAGAAGGCGGCGATCACAATGATGAGGAGTCCATTGATCATGATCTTCTCGCCGCCCATGTGAGGTGGCAGCCAAAAGGCGGAAAGTGCGAGGATAACTACGCAGGAGGCCGGTGTGTAGATGACGGCAGTGTACATAGAGGATCGCCTCTGAGCCGTAAGAGTGTACTCCATGTAGCCGTTGTAGTCCTGACTCACAAACTCCGCCCGGGAGTCGACGATCTCCCACTCCGGCGATTGCACCAGGTCGTCGTGGTCCAGGGATTTTCCATTTGTGCTATTGTCGGGCAGGATGGTTTTCAATCCCCAGGAGCCAATCTTCAGCTTGCAGGTCTGCTTGTCGTGCGGCCAATTGAGCATATTGAGGTCGCAGTAGGCCGTGTACAAGGCTGGGGGCATCCGCCTGAAGTGTCCGTCATGGCTGAGGGTCACCTGGGTGTCCGCCAACAGGCCACCCTCGTCGCCATTGAAGAGCGTGATCTGCGGCGTCCAAATCTCGCTGGCTTGCAAAGTGATCTCCGTGATGTTTTCATATTCCGATGGTTGCCACACGCGCTGCTCATCCCGCCATCGCTAGAAATTAAGAGGAAAGGATGTTAGAGTAAGTTTATAGCACCTACAGGGGTTCAAGGTTCGAGTCTAAGCAAACTTTAATTTTTGTAACTACTCTCCTTATGATGAATCTGAAATATAATATCTCATATCCCAACGGATTCGTCGTACACACAAAAAAAACTTGGTTAAATTAACTAATATAATTGTCAAACAGTCCCCAACCACAAAATTTGTAAATTCTACCAATTAAATAGTTACTTTCACAGCAACAAATACACAAAATTAGCAAGGACACACACCCAAAGCAAAAACAAAATATACCAGGGACCGTAATCATTATAAGTGAAACAAGAGAGAACGCTATAGTCGGGTGCCCCGACTATCAGATACCCGTTACTCAGCTAAAGGGAGTGCGAAGGAGATGGAGAAAAACTTTGATCCGCCGTAACTTTTTAACGAATGGTCCGATCTAAAAAATTTCTTCTACATTTCGATAGGTATTGATAAACACAATAAAACTGCATTTTTACTTTTCCAAAATAATGAAATTTTTAAAATCGTATATAAGCGATTGTGGGCGTTAGAGGGGGCGTGGCACCCTTTTGAAACAAACTTGCGCTGCGTAGGAACTCCTAGAATCTTCATGCAAAATGTCAATCTTCTAGCTTTTATAGTTTCCGAGATCTCAGCGTTCATACAGACAGACAGACGGACAGACAGACGGACAGACGGACAGACGGACAGACGGACAGACGGACAGACGGACAGACGGACAGACGGACAGACGGACATGGCTAGATCGACTCGGCTAGTGATCCTGATCAAGAATATATATACTTTATGGGGTCGGAAACGCTTCCTTCTACCTGTTACATACTTTTGCACGAATCTAATATACCCTTTTACTCTACGAGTAACGGGTATAAAAATAAAAATCTCCATTTAATGATTATTTTGTAAGCGAAAAAAATATCGCTCAGAAATAATGATTATTATGTGAGCGATATTATTTCGCTTAAAAATATCACTCAAAGTGCGATTACAGCCGTCCTGTACGGAATTTTACAAACTTTTAAATTTCTGCTTGTAGGTAGAACCACGGAGCACACATCGAGTTAATAAAAGAAGGTGATTTCTTTGTATAAACTTTTTAAAACGCGGTTTTTAGTTGACAAGAGGTATGCTTAAATACAAAAAGTTGTATCAACCTTAGAACTTTATGTCATTTATTTATTAGTAAAACGACTTAACAAGATGTTATGAACTATTCCACTTAGATCCAACCCGACATGTGGGCTGGGTGTTAGTGTGTTGGTCCACCGAGCTGTAAGTACGAGTTCGATTCCCACAGAAAGTGTTTTTATACTAAAAGATTTTTTTGTTTTTTTAAGCGGTTTATACAAAGAAAATTTATTTTTTTCTTAACGGAATATGTGCTTCGTGGTTCTACCTACAAGAGCACATTTAAATCTTTGTAAAATTCCGCGTAGGACGGATGCAATCCCACTTTGAGTGATATTTTTGAGCGAAATATATCGCTCACAAAATAATCATTATTTCTGAGCGATATTTTTTTTGCTTACAAAATAATCATTAAATGGAGATTTTTATTTTTTACTCAAAAAAAATAATCATTATTTTCGGTCCCTGAAATATACGTAACTATTTTGTATAGTTATAGTACTTAAAATGCACAATGCCCAAAAACTCAAAAATGATATCATTCCCATAAACAGAATATTTTCATATTGTTTTCACAAATTCCATTTCTTGCGACATTTTTTAACGGAACGGAATGTTTATCATATTCATGTGAACTTGAGAAGAAAACAAAAACTTATCTTGTTTTTCGAGCATTGCAATGCAGGGAAAGGACCGGGGCCTACGATATTCGACTTACGATATTCAGCCAGCAGTGGGTCGTCATTTTGCCATTCATCTCATCGATGTCAATATAGTTGATTACCATGCCGAGGGATACGTTGGTGGGAGATCCTTGGAACTGGGGCTGCACATCGCTGTCGTAGTTTAGGAAAAGTCCTGCGTGGAGACGATCCAGAGGCGAGACACTGCCACTCTTTGGTTCCGAATCAGCTGGCGGAGATTGGGATTCAATTATCAGTGGCTTATGCAACCGGGGAGCTATTAAAACTCACAAGTGGCGCCTGGCACGGAAGCCGAAAGTATAAATAAAATCCCCATTAGCGTCGGCAGTAGTCCAGGACCGGAAATCGGTGGGTTTATCTTGGAAGTCATCGTCAAGTGTTATTAAATACAGTATCCAATGTTTGCCGCTCGGAATCTGGAAGGGAACTGAGCTCAGCTTGCCGTTTGGCACATGGCCGAGGCTCCATTATCTCCGGACTCCTCTGCCGACGTCGGTGATAACATAACAGCCCACATATTTGTTTTTTGTGTGGGAGGGAGGCCGTTATTATATTTAAGCTTGGGGAGGATTGAAAATGATCGTTTAGAAAACAACTAAATTTTAAAAAGGTTGTGATTTTGACACTTTTTGATGTTTGTGTGTTGTTATATTAAAATGTTGTTCGATATTTTTCCATTATTTTTATTATAACTTGTTTAGAAACAAATTAAATAAATATTAATAAATATCTAACGATTAGTTTATTTAGTTTGGGAGTTAGCGAGAGGCAAATAGGAAGCTAACGCCTTTAGCTGGGACCTTTTTACACCGCGGTACTCAGTTGAGCCAAAGAAATAGTATGGCAATAAAAAGACCACTAGATTTAGCGGGTGAATTCCGATGAACGCCATTCCATTCATTATATTTAAATATGTTCTTAATTTACTTTCTTATCTAATAGGAGCAGAGAGGAAATAGTGTGTTGTTGCTTGGAGCGTAAAACGCTCCAACTTTTTTGGCTTTTTGATATAATCAGACGTCTAGTTCCACGGCTATGTTGTAGACTTATCAGTTTTTCTTTGGACATGGATGGGAGAACAACAGAATTTACGTGGCTCGGATGTTTGTTCCTTTTGGGATTATCCACAGTGGCTGCTAAGAGACAAGTGTTTTTAAATCAGAATCATGAAATTCTGCACAGCATACTGAGCTCAATTAACGATACAGCAGACCCATGTCTGGATTTCGGAGGATATTTAATTGCCACGTACGACTCCAAGAGCTCTGATGAAAGAATTTCGATGGAGAATACGGATCTCAAGTTCGTTTCGTTGTTTGAAAGAATGAAAAATCGAACCTATGAACCGGGAAGTTTCGAGGAAATGGCTTTCAAGCTTTATAACACCTGCCAATCCACCAATTTCCGACTGACTAATTATTTTAAGACCGTGCTGCCGGACGTCAATCTCCCCTGGCCTCAAGATACTCCAGATGGCATCCCGTGGCCAAAGGAACGTTTCCAATGGCTAGTGACTCTCGCCCGAATGCACCGCTATGGCATGAATGACGTGTTACTAGATCTGAAAATCAAAGTGGATCGCGAGGATCATAGTGAGTACATGGTAGTGATCAAAGAACCCAACTCGAATAATGACTATTCGTTCTGCTACGGCGACGAACTGTTCGACAAGTCACACTTAGTTGAAAAAGGATTCAACACGAGTCAAGCTGATTCCATGTCCAAAGATTTAGGCAATCTTGAATCAGCTTTCTATAAAGTAGATCGGAAGAAAGCCGAATCATATAAGGGAAAGCGTTTGACTCTTCAGCAGCTAGAACGTGATTATGGAATTTCCCTAGGAAAATATCTCGAAACTGTGTTCGAACGCCAGTTCGCGCCGAGCTTCCAGTTACAGATCGATAATTTGGACTATTTGGTGGAACTTTATCAACTGTTGAGCACATACAATCAGGAGACTGTTGCCTGCTACCTTATGCTACGATTTGATGATTATATGAACTGGGCTCTCGCATATAATAATTGCGATCAACTTGTACGATCGAAAATGTTGTTTGGAACCGATATGCTCTTCGAAGAACATGTTCTGGGTGAGAAAAAAGTTCAAGAGTATCAGGCCCAGGTCCCTCAAATATTTGGGGCGATAATCAAGTCATTTAAACGAAGATTGAAAGGGAATCGCCTGAACTTACCGCTTTCCCAGATATCTTATTTTCTAAAGTTTCTCGACGGAATTTCCATAAATGTGGGGAGCATGCCGAATGACAGAGATCACCGCCGCTTTGTGACAGATTACTATGCAGATCTTGACTTCGATGACGATGACGATTTGGATACCATGCGACTAAAGTTATCCATGTTACGCACTCGTCGGATGTTGGAAAAACTGGATCATCCGGTGAGCTCATCTTCGTTTAACCACGTGACACCCAATGACGTGGACTTTAACACAATCAACATTCCCTATACACTTTTGGCCGAACCTTTCTATATGACCCGTGGCCACGAAGTCTTTAAGGTGAATATGAGATCCCTTTAACTGCATATCAGATGCCTAACACTTCTTTAATTTTAGTTCGGTGCAATTGGCACATTGATCACTCAACGAGTACTGGAAGCTTTTCATAACATGGACGAAGACTTCGATTGCGTGGATCTTATCAATTTGGTGAAATCTTTAGATGATCGCGATTTTTCTACTAACAAAGAATTTGGCTGCGGGGATTCCTTTCTCAAGACAAGTGATTGGAGAATCGCATTGGAACCAATTCTCCTAAGTTTGGTTTACGATGCCTACTTCTCCACAGAATCCGGATTTGATCACTCGCAGCCTGTTTACACCGGTGTGCCTTTGAAGCAGCTTTTCTTTTTACAAATAGCCCGGAAGCGTCTACTTAAATTTACTTGGATTAGTGATTTCCAATTCGACAAATTCTTTTCAACCATACCAGCTTTTACCGAGGCTTTTAATTGCTCGAATTCTTCTATGATACACCAGAGATAAAAAAAAATTCTTTTAATCTTTATCAAATGTCAAATGTCGCCTTTAAATCTCCACTTTTTGCGATTATAAGAAGAATATTAGGGGGATTCCCTAAACTGTTGAATTGCTGAATTGTTGAAAATTCAACAAAAAATTTCAGCAATTAAGGGAACGACCCAAAATGGTTCCTGTTGAATTTTCAAACAGCTGTTATTTGTTGAAAAATTTCACGGAACTTAAAGCATGTAAAATTTGATTTATTATTGCTAGTTACTGTCTAAAAGTGTTACCAAGATAAAAAGAACTACAAATATGCTTTCTAAGTTGATTTTAAAATAAACAATGCGTATTGGTGATACAAAATGTTACAGAGTTGCCACAACTTTTAAAAAAAAGGTGACAACTCTGGCTTTTCAGCAATTCAACAAAATTTTCATCAGCCCCGAGGCTGATGAATTGCTGAAATTTCTGAAACTTGACTTTGTATGGAACAGCTGATTAACAGCTGACCAAAATTCATAAATTCAGCAATTCAACAGTTTAGGGAATCCCCCTATTGTTTTTGAAATAAATAAAGCTATTAATCCCGCTAGCCGCACTTGCGAATCTAAAAAGTTAGATCTAGTGGGAAAACAGCTAAATCGGCAACAGCGTCTGGTATATTTTAATTGGCTTTTGGTATTTTTTAGTGACTTCCTTTGGTATTTTTCGCCACAGAGATTGTTGACGTGTGCTGCTGCGTGTCAATCTTTCAATCTTCACTTTTCACCCTCGCAAGCCGGCGATTTTCATCGGGAAGCAGCAGCTTGAATAGGACTAGGACAGCATGGCGGAGGAAGTGTTTGGCAAGGTGAAGGAGGTGCTCAGCGGCATCCTCGAGAACGTGAACGCGGCGCCCAAGAACGAGTCGGCGCCCGCGGAGAAGAAGACGCCATCCACGCCCGAGGGCATGGCGGTGGCCTACAGCAGCCTGGTGGTGATGGCCATGCTGCCCATCATCTTTGGCTCCATCCGCTCCGTGAAGCTGCACAAGCTGAAGAAGGTAGGTGCTGGGTGATCCTCGCCAGAACTCTAATCCCAATCCCAATCCCCTCCTGCAGTCCACGGGCGAGAAGGCCGACACGATGACCAAGAAGGACGCCATGTACTTCCCCCTGATCGCCTCGTGCGCCCTCTTCGGGCTCTACCTGTTCTTCAAGATCTTCCAGAAGGTGCACATCAACTACCTGCTCACCGGGTACTTCTTTGTCCTGGGTGTGATTGCGCTGGCGCACCTGCTCAGTCCGGTGATCAACTCGCTGATGCCGGCGGCCGTGCCCAAGGTGCCCTTCCACATCCTGTTCACCAAGGGCGAGGGCAAGCACAAGGAGGACATCGTGAACTACAAGTTCTCCACGCACGACATCGTCTGCCTGGTCATCTCCTCGGTCATCGGCGTGTGGTACCTGCTCAAGAAGCACTGGATCGCCAATAATCTCTTTGGTCTGGCCTTTGCCATCAACGGTGTGGAAATGCTGCACTTGAACAACTTTGTGACTGGCGTCATCCTTCTAAGCGGCCTGTTTTTCTACGACATCTTCTGGGTGTTTGGCACCAATGTGATGGTCACGGTGGCCAAGAGCTTCGAGGCGCCGATCAAGCTAGTGTTCCCCCAGGACCTCATCGAGAATGGCCTGAATGCCTCCAACTTCGCCATGCTGGGACTGGGTGACATCGTCATTCCGGGCATCTTCATTGCCCTGCTGCTGCGCTTCGACGACAGTAAGAAGCGCAAGACGCGCATCTACTTCTACTCCACGCTGATCGCCTACTTCCTGGGCCTGCTGGCCACCATCTTCGTGATGCACGTGTTCAAGCACGCGCAGCCGGCGCTGCTCTACCTGGTGCCCGCCTGCATGGGCACCCCGCTCCTGGTGGCCTTGGTTCGCGGCGAGCTGAAGGTGCTCTTTGCGTAAGTTGAGCTCTTTCCTGACTGAGAATAGAATAAATAGCTCTTCCTCCTGTAGATATGAAGACCATCCCGAGGAGAAGCCCGAGAAGAAGGAGAAGAAGGAAAAGGACGAGAGCACCGGCTCGTCCGGCAGCAAAAAGAAGGAGTCCAAGAAGGGCAAGTAGGGAGGACTCTCTACCCGAACAACATCTCCATTCGTTTCATCGTAAAATGTCTTCTGCGGCTAGCCAAGCTTCCTTTTGTTATCACCCTCTATCACCATCCGTAATCTACGTATACGGAGTACACAGCTTAAAAAGACGATTCACTTTATTGAGTTACTTACGTTCCTTGGCCAGGCACAACAACAACAACAACACCTTATTTAGTTCGGTTAGGTTACAATTGTAGAAAATGATTTGTCAACTTTTTTACCAGAATCAAATTTAAATGTAGAATTCAACTAATTTATGTGGCTCCCCCGCTTAGGAGGCGTATATTTAAGAACAACAGTTTAGATACAAATATATTCAAATTTTTGTAAAATTTAAAGATCTCCGATTTTCATAGGGAACCACTTAACTACGAATAACTACATTGCATTTCAAAAACAGTTCAAATGCGAATAAATTTTAATTTTCGTAACACAAGGACAATGGTGTCTAATTAATTTAAAGATAAATTTGTTAATTGCTTAATTTTAAGCACTACAATAATTTCAAAATTAGTATGTAGTTTAAAAATAAGAATATACCAAATTAGGTAAGTGGTCACCCTAAATATACCAAATATCGATAACAATTTAGTGCTACCGTTTGCCGTGGCAAACATCGATGTTTTTCTCCACCTCTAAGCAAGCGTTCCTTCCTGCAAAAATTGCGCTAGAAACTGCGAAAACTGTAAAATTCGCCAGCGAATAGACAAAACGAGGCTTCTGCAGGGCTTCTCAAGGTGCAAACGCAGGCGGAAAGGTGGGTAGACACTCGAAAAGGCGGTAATAAAGCCGAAAAGATACCCTTTCGGAGGGCCCATACCCACACACTCACACACACACTTTTGCAGACAGACGCGCGTGCAAAAAAGGAAGAAGAAGGGGATCGCCGAGAAAAGCAGGATTTGTGGAAACTACTGAATAGACAACTGAGCAGATAGCATGTCCGGCATCGCAATCACGCGCTTGGGCGAGGAGCGAAAGGCCTGGCGCAAGGACCACCCCTTCGGCTTCGTGGCCCGGCCCGCCAAGAATCCCGACGGCACCCTCAACCTGATGATCTGGGAGTGCGCCATTCCCGGCAAGAAGTCGACGCCCTGGGAGGGCGGCCTCTACAAGCTGCGCATGATCTTCAAGGACGACTACCCCACCTCGCCGCCCAAGTGCAAGTTCGAGCCGCCGCTCTTCCACCCGAACGTCTATCCCTCGGGCACCGTCTGCCTGTCGCTGCTCGACGAGGAGAAGGACTGGCGCCCGGCCATCACCATCAAGCAGATCCTGCTCGGCATCCAGGACCTGCTCAACGAGCCGAACATCAAGGACCCGGCCCAGGCGGAGGCCTACACCATCTACTGCCAGAACCGGCTGGAGTACGAGAAGCGTGTGCGCGCCCAGGCCCGCGCCATGGCGGCCACCGAGTAGTCGGTGCGTCCCGGGCATCCTGGGCATCCTGGGTATCCTGGGCATCCTGGGCCTCCCCGCATCCCCACATAGACATTAACAAACAACACACACACACATCTAGGCGGTAAGCGTTTTCGTGAATGCTCTCCACATATTTACTTTTACTAAGACGGAACTCTACTGCACACAAACAAAAAGCATCTGATTTAATTTTTTAACGCAATCGTTTAGTTGCTATATTGTATACTGTATCATCTGAATAAAATCTTATAAGTTCTGCACGTTTCTGAGAAAGACCAAGAGATGCGAATGCATCGCGAACAAAGTGGCTACGTGGCAGCCAGTTGACACTTTTTTCCAGCATTGAGATCCGTGACATATAGGCATATGCGACGATTGTGAATATGCATTTTCTAATACTTTTCCCCAACTAACGAACTGCTTTGTTGTGTAAATTGACTACAATTTATTGAAAGTACCACTTACATTTATATCGTGTCAATAAAAATGTATTAGTTGTAAACGACCAAGTATTTCGTTTGTGGCAGTTTTTCCTGAAAAATGTTAGTAATGTTTGGTGATAAAATTGCTTTGGAATACTGTTGATCGAAGAATCAGGTCTAATTTGGTAAGATTTAATAGGTGCAAGCATTTCTGTATTTATGTTTTATTTTTTAGTTTTGAAAAAAAAAATTAAAATATTTTCTTGGTATTTTCCGAAAATCCAGTCTCCCTGATATGGCCACCCATCTATTGTTGCCGATCTGCTCAACAAGCTGAACGTATCTGACTAACGGTTGTTTTGTGCCATCTTATAAAAAACATGGTGAAATTACCAGCAGGCACTTGCTAAAACTTCTGTTCGCCTAATATTTTAGATGAAGAATTCCAGCAATTTTATTCAATACTTCCGATGACAAGCGACCAAATGGGCCACAAATCGACTCAACATTTACCGTAATCTTCAACTTGGGCGCTTCAAGGCGAATTTCATGATTTTTGATACCAGACACACAGAATCAGCAGTAGGTGGCTGCCGGTAATTCTGACTTTGCTCACATAACGGTTCTTTTTCAAGATGGCTGCCATGGAAGATCACTTCACCTTTTCCTATCGATCTGGCATACCGGCTACATTGGTTTCTAGCGATCTGGTAGCACGCGCCAACCTTTTCCGTCGACATGGCAACCTTGCTTGTTTGTCCGTTAAATTCAAATGCAAAACTTCAAAAACCAATAAATTAAAACAGAATTTGACATACTTATGGTGGGCTGATTGATTCCAAATTTAAACCAACACAAGCTGTTGAATAAATTAATTACTTTTATTGTCGCACACACTTAATAAATAATGTACTCAGTTAAATTACACAGTTGGAATCGCTCGCTCTCGCATATGTGGAACAGCGAGCCATTTACATAATAATATTGGATCTACATAGGAATACTTTGCCTCCTTCCGCTCCGCAATCCATTGCAAACTTGTAGTTTCTTGCCCTCGATTTAGTTTCTGTCTAAGTGGTAAGCTTTGGCATGCATTATATGTCATGGTTCCCACTTCATGGGTATGCGTCTACTTTAAATCTAGTTAATCTACGTGTTTATATTTCATTAGGCGTACTATATATGATGCGTGTTTATGTGTATATACTGCTATCGATCGGTAAGTCGAAGGAGTCAGCACCCAAGTGGCGTTCGGAAGTGGAGGGCAGCGACAGGGAGATTCTCCGGGAATACTGTCGTCGATTACAGGATAGCTTACACTGTGCGAAGGAGGAGGCGATGCTTAGGATTCGATTAGGTTCGGTTGCTGCTGCTCAGAAGCAGGTGTAATACCATTCCAGCTGCTTGCGCTGCGCCTCCCACCGCAGCTGGCTCTCTCAAATGGCCGCCTCCTGCAGGTTCTCCTTGTTCTGCTTCTGCTGGCCATGCCCATGTCCGCCCACAATGCCCAGGCCCACGGCCACGCCCCCTCCGCCCAGGTGATTCGGACTGGGACTGTCGCTCGCCTCCGGGCGAATCGGCTTGTTCTTGCAGTAGAACTGCTTGTGGGCCAGGTAGGTCTTCACGTAGTTGAAGGATATGTCGCAGGTGGAGCAGTACTTCTTCATCACCTCGGCGGCGGCGACGGCGGCAGCTGCTGCGGCGGCCACGCTGCTGTTGCCCAGCGGCGAAGCCATCGGTGGGACTAGCCCACCAGGCGACGTTACATCCGGTGCACCGATCTCCATGGGCTCGGCCTTGATGTGGGGCATCGTCGGAATGGGCGAGTTGTTGTTGTCGTGCACCAGACTCAGCGTCGGCGGAGCATCCAGGGGTTCCGACTTGATGTGGAAGCTGTAAAAGGAAAATAAAAGATTAAAAATATGTTAAAAATTCCAGAATACAAAAGGCATACATCAATTTCTAGCTCTTTTATTAAGGCTCAGATGACACATTCAATTTTTAGCCTCAATTTATTGTGACAATTTTTCATTTGTGTGAGTTTAAAGAAGTGTAAGCGGGTCAGGATTAATATGATATCGCGCCTTTATAATTGGTGTTAGTGGTAGAGCAGCCAAAAATATTTGATTCTTTCTTGCGCTCGTCTAAAGTCCCATTAAAGAAAAATTGCTACAATAAATTGACGTTAAAAATTGAATGTGTCATCTGAGCCTAATAACTAGCTTAAAGTCTTGTAAAACTCCAAACCTAATTTAGAGCTGATTAAAACAGTATCTCTCAAAAATGTTATAATATAATGCATTAAAAATTTCAGAACACTAAAATCATAAATCGATTTCCAGCTCCTTTATTAATTAGGTACTAGCCTAAAGTCTTGTACAAAACTAAATTTTGAGCTGAATAAAACAGTTTCTCATATAAATCTTATGATATAGAAAGAATATTTTGTACGAATTTAAGAGTAGAATTTAAAAGGGATCTGCATTAATTCTTCAAATTTGAAGGAGAGTTATAATATTTCTAATAAAAATCCGTTTTTACGCGATCTTTATCTGCTTAAAATCTTTTGGTAGAATCTTATAATGGGTTTAGGGTTCAAATTAATTGTGATCAAACTAAAAAATATGATATCAAATTTAATCCTACATTGCATTACAACATGTATAGAATCTTTAATTAATCGATCCCCATCTAACCCATTTGATTCCATATCACTTCCTGCCTTCCTTACCTGGCTGCCTCACCGTTGGAACCCTCGGAATTCGAGTGCTGGTTGGTAGTGGTGATGGAGGACACCTCCTGATCCCTGGCGTCGGGGGAAATGGAAGGTGAGTTGATGGCCACATGTGGATGCATCAGCTTCATGTGTCGCAACTATAAGAAAAAGACCTCCAGTTAGAGTGAATCAATCTAAACAGTCATATAAAGAATACCCACCACATTGCCCTTGTAGGAGGAGGCATAGTTGCAGTAGTCGCAGTTAAACATCTGCGAGGGATGATCCATGGAATCGATAGAAACTACTGCAGATGCAGATGCTCCCCCGGCAGGAGGCATCTCCTGGTTGCCCTCCTCCTCGAAGATGCAGGTCATGTAGTGCTCCTCGTTCACGTCGCTGGTCTTCTTGTCGAAGTGCGTGCGGATGTGGGTGCGCATGCCGCGCAGCGTGTTGCCCTTGTACTGGCAGATGCTGCAGCGGTAGGCCTTCACCGTGCCGTGCATCTCCATGTGCTTCTTGGCCAGCGCCGCCGTGGGACTGACCACGCCGCAGACGGGGCACTTGTTCAGGCTGTTGGAGGAGGAGGTTGGCGGCTGGGAGTTGCTGGTTGGATTGGCGAGTGGATTCGAGATGGGCGGCGGACAGGGCAGGCCAATCTCATGCAGGCTCTTGCACTTGCCGCACTTCTCCTTCACCAGGGCCAGCTGTCCGGGATCAGAGGATCCAGGAGCAGCGGCTGCAGCTGCTCCTCCCTTGGGACAGTAGTAGTTCTGATGGGCCCGCAGGTTGTCCAGCGAGGAGTACTTGATGCCGCAGGCGGCGCAGATGAGTTGTTGATAGGCCACCGGAGTGGTTTCCACGGAGGAAGCTACTTCTGCTCCTGGATTGGTTGGTGAAACGGCCGACTTGGCGTCCCCATCTCCTCCAGCTGCTCCTCCTCCTCCTCCTGCGCCCTCCTGACTCCTCGCCGAGCAGTAGTGCTGCTTGTGCACCAAGTAATTCTCGTACTGGCAAAACACAATGTTGCACTCCATGCACTTGGACACGCCCTTCTTCACATAGATTTGCGGTTGCTGGGTAGCTGATCCTACGCCTCCTGGATTTCCACTCGTCTGAGCAGAAGAAGCCAGGGGAGATGGGGAGAAGGCTGCCGCTCCGGCAGCTCCACTGCCCGCCACTGCAGCCGCTGCAGCTGCCGCCGCCAGTTTCAGAGCCAACTCGGGATTAGTTTTGGCCAGCAGCGATTCGGAGAGGCCAAAGTCCGCCGGCAGCATGGAGCGCATGTCCAGCATGTGGGGCACGGCCACGTTGAGACCCGGCGGCGACATGGAGGAGGCACTGCCGGCGCCCGAGCTGCGTGGACTGATGGCTCGTCGCTTGGGCGAGGGACTCATCGAGGGACTCGAGGGCAGGGAGGGCGCGCAAACGATCTGCTCGGGAGTCACACTTCCTCCTCCTCGCGGAGTTTCTACGTGATCCTTGGCACTTCCTCCTCCTCCTGCGGCGCCGGCAAGGAGCACTTCCTCCACATCGAGGAGGGCGTTGCGAAGTTGATGCTGTCGCAAGGTCAGAGAATTCAGGGAGATGGGCGATCGACGCAGCGAGAGATCCAGGGGCGCAGACTCACTGGAAATAAAAGGGGGATTTATGTGTTATTCAGATATTGTTGTATTAAAAATAGTGCATTAAAGTCACGAGAATTCTTTAGGAATCGGTGTATGTATTATTCAGATGGTTGTTATATTATAAATAGTGCATCGAATTTACGCGAATTCTTTAGGAATCGCTGTTCATAGAAGATATTTCATTCATTAACTAAATCCTCAAGAATTCGCGGGTCTAAATTCCTTTTAAATCTGGATTATTATGACAGGCACTTACCGACTTCCTCCCGCCTCCTTTCGCTTGGGTTCCGGTGGACTGCTCTTGGGTTCGGTGGCCTCGGCAGCTGACGAAGGAGCCGAGGGGCGTTCGGGCTCCAAGGAGGCGCCGATAAGGGCAGTGGCCAGGGGCTTGATCGTTCCATTGTCCACGGTGAAGCAGGTGGTCTCTGGATTCACAATCCCCGAGTTCGGTGTGGGCCTGTGGATTAAAATACAAGTTTTTACTGTGTTTAAGAAATCCTAATAATAATAAGGATCTTGATATGATCATAAAAATTTAGAAAGGAAAATATGTAAGGTTTAAGCTTGGAACTTAAAAATTCGGGAAGAATCATGGGCTCGATAAGAAAAACGATCTTGAAATAGAGATAAATAAAGTCTTGATTTTGATTTTCAAGACGAAAAGATCCTTTTTTGTTGAGAATTTTAGATGGATTGATTAGTTTTTGAAACTTAAGAATTCGAGAAGAATCATGGGTTCAATAAGAAAAACGATCTTGAAATAGATATAAATATGGTCTTGATTCTTATTTTCAAGACGAAAAGAGTCTTGTTTTTTAGAATTTGCGATTGGATCGATTTATGTTTGAAACTTAAGAATTAGAGAAGAATCAGGGGTTCGATAAGAAAAACGATCTTGAAATAGAGATAAATATGGTCTTGAATTTGATTTTCAAGACGAAAAGAGTCTTATTTTTGAGAATTTGAGATTTGATCTCTCTTTGGTTACTCACAGTGGTCCTGGAATGAAGCTGGCCGCCCGGATGAGCGAGCAGGGCACAATGATGATCGGGTGGGTGGGCAGAGCCAGGAAGGGCGGGTGCGAGTGGGTGGTGGCCTGGAGGGAGGCGGCGGCCGCCGCAGCAGCAGCCGCCACGGCGACCATCGCAGGTGTGGGTGTTTTGTTCCTGGCCTGCGGACTCAGCTTGCCGGGAGCAGCTGGCTGCGCACTGGACACCACTGATCCACCGCTAGAACCACTTGGTCCTGCCGATCCTCCCAAGCCCGGCGAGGCATCTGGCTTGGGTGTGAGCTGACCCTCCGGCCGCCGCGAACTGCAGTAGTGCTGCTTGTGCGCCCGATAGGTCTTGATGTTGTTGAACCGGATATCACAGTGGCTGCAGTAGCGATCGGTTTGCTGTTGGGTATGGGGATTGTTAGTATGATATACTATCCTCGATCATCCTAGGCACCTCAACACTTTACTCACTTGACTAGGACTGTCCTCCAGCGAAAGGGGCTGCGTTACGTTGCCCACCGATGGCAGCGATGGCGGCAATCCGTTCTGGAGGAGACTCGGCAGACTGGCCAAGGTGGGAGCCGCCGGCGAGGTCTGGTGCATCCGCATGTGCCGGTTGAGGGACACCTTCTTGTCGGCACTGTAGGAGCACTGGGTGCAGCCGTACTGCTTGCCCGTTCTGGCCATTTTGGCTGGTGGCTCGGAGGCGGAGTTAATGGATCCTCCATCGCCGGCTGCTCCTGCCGATCCTCCTGCTCCGGATTTATCACTGCCCGCCTCGTCCGTCTCCTTGATCCGGTGAGAGCAGTAGTAGGCCTGGTGGGCTTCCAGCGTGGAGGGCGAACTGAAGGCGATGCCGCAGGGCAGGCACATGAATCGGGCTGGCTTGAGATGGGGTTCCTCCTGAGGAGGCGGAGGCGCCTCCGGCTTGACGAGGGGCGGCGGAGCCAGGAGACGGGAGTCGGGCAGCGTCAGCTCCTTGGCATCTGGCTTGAGGGCAGGATCCGAGGCAAGGAGCGCATTCAGACGCACCTTGGGGAACTTGGGAGTGGGAGTGAGAGTGGGTGGACAAGGCGAGGGACAGGGAGAAGGTTCCGCCTCCGAAGGGGGCGTGGCTGGCTGTTCCAGCTTGGGAATCAGCTGGGGAGAGATGGGACTCCTGGGCGGAGTGCTGGGACTGTTCAGTGCAGGCAGTTCCTCCTCCTCTTCCCGCTGAACCTCCTGATCCTGCTCCATCGCCGTCTCCCCCAAATCCTGATCCTCCACGGGATTAGTCTCTTCTGGCTGCTCAAAGTCACCCTCTTCATCGCCATCATCATCATCATTATTGTTATTGTTATTGTTATTGTTGTTCTCTTGGGGATCGCTGGAGGAGGACTCCTGATCCTCCAGTTGATCCTCCATTTGCTGCTGCTTCTCCTCGCCCATTTCCTGGGCGGTCAGATCTTTGGAATCTGTAAGGAATTCAATACAATAAAGTTAATAATTTGTAACATACGAATTTAAATAACTAAGATTTATATAAACATTTTTTTATGCAATTTTAGAACATTTTTTCACAATGAGAATTAGAATCTTGATTTTATTTTAGTTTATGAAATTCTAGAACTTTTATCCAGTCTTGAAATAGAGATAAAAATGCCTTGATTTTAAGAATTATAGATTAAATCAATCTTCGCTTATCGGAATGATTATTAAAATAAATATATGTAAAGAACTAAGAGTTCTCTTATCATTTATTCATGGAACTCTAGAACTTCTTTTCCCAATCCTAACCCCTAACAATCCTGGGAATCTCCGCTTAGAAGACAGACAGTTACATGGCAGTTTAGTGGCTCAAATTGGCTTCCCAGAATCCGCATTCCACATCTACCTTCTTCCCATCCTCACCAGTGAGGAATCTATGTGTCAGACAGCTGCTTTGGCAATTATTATCGAACAAATTGTCAGTGGTCAGTGGTCAGTGGCGGAGCTGTGAAAACAATGCGACAAGAGCCGGCTGCTGCTTTTGCTGCCCAGATGGAGGAGCAGCTATCCAGCTATCCACGGTTTATCCACGCTGGCCATCTCTTACGTGGAAAACGCTGGTGGAAAAGGAAGAGGAAGGAAAAGCGCATGGTGGCCAATGGCCAATGGCCACTGATGATTAGGGCCCGCGGATCGCGGATTGCAGCCAAAGTTCGAAGTTGGCCAGAACAGAATCCCCGAACCGAACTGACATCTGATTTGTTTCTGTTTTGGCCACGGCGAAATATTATAACGACCAACGGCGATGCTGGCCGAGATTATGGCGGCGGACTGGGGAAGTGAATAGTGGAGAGTGGACAGAGGACAGTGGACAGCGGACAGGGACGTGGACATGGCACACACATGGCATGCAGATGGAGCCGCCGGATAAGCGTCGCAGTTTGCAGTTTGCATCTCGCTTCGCCAGAAATTCGACATCTCGACCGCAGCGAACATTTTGGCCTGCTCGTGCGGGCTAAAGCTTCCAAAAGTCTCCGAAACCCCCCCCTCTGTCAGCCGCCTATGGTTCCCCATTGGATTGGAGCGGTTTGGAGGCTGGGGAAGATGCGCGTTGACCTGTCAATTGATGGCTATTGAAATGTCAGCACATTCAGAGCGACTGAAGTAGAGAGATGTAGGGGATTCTTCTGAAGAAAACATTTGGAAACTGGTGCTTGAACCATTTTCTCACTGAACAGTAAGAAAATGTATTCTTTTACGAAAGAAAGCTATGAAATATTTAATATTTATTTTCTAAATATTTTTTAACTGTTGGTTTCTCAACGGCAAAGATTCTAGTTAAGATTCTAGTTGGTTTCTGTGAGATAAAGTTAACCTGCAGTTAAAGTTACACATAAATTCATTGGTTTTCTCAATGTGATGTTAATTTTACATGTTAAACCACCACTTTCAGTTATATAAAACCTAACATGATATGGAGAAAATCGTTTTATTAGATTCTGTAATATAACTGAAGGTTAAAAATTAACATTAAATTGAGAAATCGGAGCTCAGCATAATCTTATTTAAACGATATTACATCCAAAATTCCCTTATCCAATTAAATTTCTCCCTGTGGAGTGCAAGTTCGTTGCCTGAGTCTTTTGATTGCTGCTGTTTGTGTTGCCGCTGCTGTTGCCACTGCAACTGCAACAAATGTTGCAACTGTTGCCAAACTATTGACGGCCCGCCCTAATTGCCGCCGTCGATTTTTCACGAATTCACACAATTCTGCACGTGAGCAATCGGTTAGAAGAATCGCAATCGCTGGATACCCCCTTCATCCCAGAAAACAACAAAAATAAAGGGCTCTCTGCTGGCATTCCGAGGCATTCTGCTTATTTGTAAGATATTTATTGCCTTCGATTGGGTGGCGATAAGCCGCACACGTAAAGTGTTTTGTCCGGGAGAAGAGAAGAGGCCTCCAATTCTTCGGGAGAAGAGAGTAGAGAAGAGGAGAGCAGAGAGATGGCCGAGCGCCGATAGAGTGCGAACGGGAGACTAACAGCTAACAATGGCTTTTCGGTTCTCGGATCCCCAGCTCCCCAGCTCCTCAACTTATTGGAGTCCCTAGTCTTCCACTGCCCCCGGCGACAACTGCCTCTGCCCGCCGAGGAGGATTAGCCCAGGCGGGGATCCCACTTGGCTTGGTTCGGCGGTTGGTGCAGCAGATCTTCTCCAGCGATTGTCTCGCGAGTGCCATCACAACACCCTCTCCTCGTTTTCATTGTTGTGCGGTTTCGGTTCTGGCCAGTGAAATCTCTACTAACCTTTGGTGAGATTAGGCGGTTTCAAAAGGTTCAAAATACAAGAAGTGTGAATGTCCTAGACAAAGACTATTCCAAAAAAACATTGCTTAATAGGCTTCGAACTAATTTAAAATAATAAAATATTTTATTTGGGGAATAGACTCAGTATCAACAATAAATATACTATTTTTTCCATGTTTTCTACATACTTTATCCAAGTTTTCTACTCAATTTTAAAATATTCAGGAGTTGCTTAATTATTAAAATGTTTTTTGTTTGATTAAAATCAACGGAATATTTGGGAATTAAAATGGGAAAATAATAATATTCATAGAGGAGGGATAATTAAAAACTACTTTATACCGCCTCTTGTATTACCTGGTTCTAAATAATAATACAAATACAAAATCCTTCTATTTGACCGCATGAAACACCTTTCATATTTGTATCCCTCAGATGCGTGAAGGAATTCCAATCCAAGGCTACGCTTATTCGCATACGAAATCGATTTGGGATCTGGGAACATGGAGTTTTCGCTGAAACTGCGATCGGGCGATCGTTTGTTTAGCCATTTCGTAACGTTACGCCGCCCCACACACCTTTCGGTGTGTTTATGCCCCCTCTATAGCCCGATAGCCCCCTTACCATCTCCCCTTCCCCTTCCCACCAGCCAACGCCAACAATTGTTTATCAATTTGTTAAATCAGCTCGCTGGTTGCCGTCTTCAGGTCGCTCTTCTCTTCTTCTTGCCGGAGAGCTGCGATCGATCCTCGCCGATAAGCGACACAGAAAAAGAGGAAAAAAGGGGTATACAGGTGGGCCGGGGATACCTGGCACTTTATCAGCCGGCAGATGATTGTTGCTGGTTTCTCACTTGGCCGCAACTTCACTCGGTGGGCGTTGTTGCCAGCCATAAACAATCGAACAATTTGGAGCCCAGGTCCCGATCTTGGCCAGAAAAAAGAGAAGAGGAGGCAGGAGCAGATCCCCAGGATCGACCCTTTGTTCATTTGTCGCTGGCTTTCAACCCGCAGACCGCCGTCGCTGCTAATCGTTTCGGGGTCAGTTAACCCGAAATCGAAGAAAAAAGCCCCAGCTAAACGAAAATGAAAACGAAACTGGCAATCAACTGGCAGATCTTCCCGGAGATGGTGAGCAATCCTAAGGTGCCTAGAATGGCAAGTCGCCAGTGCGTCTGGTTGGTTCCAGTACTTAGTACTTATAGTTTGCCAAATGCCACTGGGGGCGTATACGTAATGAGACACACGTAATGCGAGAAGAGTGATTTTTAAGAACTAATTCCTCATATAATTCTTTAATTATAATTTTATGTATTTGATATGAAATATGGTCAATTCTACCTTATTTCTGTCAATAAATTATAAATTACGTCAAATTTATGATTCAAGCTTATCAACATGATACTTTATCATATCACATAAAATACCAAATTTAGTATTTTTTGAACAAATAATGTAAAATAAGATAAACGTAGCCTTTATTCATATCAAAAAGATATGCATATCCATCTGATCTTTTGTCAATTTCTTTTCTGAGCATACATTTTAATCTTAATGTACAATAACCACCTCTCCAGATCCAGTTTTCTCTATTATTCTTCTCCAAATAAACATTCCCATTTCGAAAAATCTAAACCATTATAAAAGAGCCTGCTGTGATTTCTCAAATATTTTTCATGCCTGCCACTCCACTGCCTCATTAGTCACAGAAAATGTGCGCGGACTACTGCCTCTGAAATTCCCAATGGAGTATAATTAAACAAATTTCTGCAGTTGCTATCGATGATCGGGATTTTTTCTTGGGGGAGGGGGAGAACAGAAATTGAAAAACGTGAGTGAGCAGCCCAAAAAAAAGGGAGGGGAGCCTACAGGGGGAAAACGTCTGCAGCTGCCCAATTGTGATAAGAGAAATCTTCATTTTCGCGCGAAAATTTTGCCACCTTGCCTTTGGGTTTCCGGGACTCTGGGAGTGCGATCTCAAGTGGATGGTGGATGGTGGACGGTGGACCGGGACCTGGTAATCAACGCCATCAGCAGCTCTCGGGGATGCAGCCAGAGGTCTCTGGGCCAACTCCGCGCTTATCAATTGTTATTAATCAAAGAAAAGAAGGCCCGTTTCTGCGGCTGGGGGAAACGAATGCAAAGAGCGCAAAGTTCGCAAATTTCATTTCACTTCACACTTGGCCAGCAGTGAAAAAAAAATAAAGGAGGAGGAGGAAGTCTCAGCAGATCTGTATTTTTTATTTTGCGCCGTGTGTCCGTGTAAATAATCAACATTCTCATATCTTCGGGGCTTCCAAGCTATTCGTGATTTACTCGCCGAATCCTCGGCTCTTTTTCGCCAACTTTAACTTCGATTCGTACCTTTTTGTTCTTATAGTCAGCACCTCTTAGTTGTCTCTATGGGAACCTGGTGAGTAGAATTCCTTTGATCCGGGGATAAGCAATTTTCGCTCTTCTTCAACTATAGCTCGTTTTCTTCTTCTGCACTCTTCTCTTCGTATTATCGAACAATTCAAACCAATAGCCTTCGAACAGAAGTTCGTATTTCGAGCAAAACTAATTTAGTTCACTTGGTTCAAACTAAAGCTGCTGATGTCCAATGGCAAGAAGAGATTAGGAGGTTGAAATTGTGGGAGTGGGAGAGTGCCAAACACTCGAGGTCAAAATAATAGGTTC